GGTTCAATTCCCAGTCAGGACACATGCCCAGGTTGCGGGCCAAGTCCCCATTTGGGGGCGTGCAAGAGGCAACTGCACACTGATGTTTCTCTCCCTCTCTTTCTTCCCCACTTCCTATCTAAAAATAAATAAAACCTTTAAAAAAACTCACTGCTGTCAAAGGTTGAGTAAGATTAATATTTTCGAGGGTCTATCTCATCTTAAAATGTACCTAGCCAGTATAGTACCTGACAAGAAATAACTGTTACTAACAGTAGAACGCTGAAAATAATCCAGATCTCCAATAATAAGGGAACTGTCACAAAAATTACGATCAATTCATAAATTACTTTTTAAAAAGATTTCACTTATTTATTTTTAGAAGAGGGGAAAGGAGGGAGAAATGGAGGGAAACATCCATGTGAGCGAGACGGTGCCTCTTTCATGGACCCTAACCTGGACCTAACCCAGGCATGTGCCCTGACTGGGAATCAAACCTTTGACATTTCGCTTTGTGGGACAATACCCAACCACCCGAGTCACCCCAGTCAGGGCATAAAACATTTCGTATGAAATCATTAACAATCATGTTTTTTGAACACTATTTAAATTAGTTAGAAAAACAGTTCCTATATTTGACTTTTGAACTCCATGTTCACACTTGCATCTCCCCTTGACTCACACCGGAAGCAAATTCCTTTTCTGTGCCCAACCCCCATCAAATCTGGTTTTCCACACCAGCGACTTTGAACCGGTGTGCCACAAAAATTTTAAAACATGCCATACCTGACTATTTAGTCAATGGCACTGACCTCTGTTCCCTTAGATGGTCAAATAAAAAAATGACAACAGCCAACACAATAACCTTCCTGTATGAATGCATGGAAATTATACCTATTTTGTGTTGGGTTAGCAAAAATATATATTTTTTTGGTGTGCCGCAGAATTTTAGTGATTAGTTTTCACCGTGAGATGAAAAAGGTAGAGAGTTGCTGCTCCACACCTTTGTCACCATCACCACCACCCTGCCCCCACCATATGCAATCCCTGTCCAAGGCCTGTTGGTCTTACCTCCCAAATTTATCTTAAGTCCTACCTCTTCCCTCCCTCTCGCTGTCCCAGTCTCCTAACCAATCAACTCCTAAATCCACTCTTCCCTCCCCACCCCAAGAGTAGATTCTTTATCCTACAACCAGATTAATCTTCAAAAATATCGAACTTGGGTTATATCTTTTCTCTACTTAAAACCTCTTTGATGACTTCTCATTACTATTAAGATAAAACATAAAGCCCCAGGTATGGCTCACAAACTGCAGAATTTGGACCCTTCTTTACTGTCCTGCCTGGTAATGTGAACACAAGATCAGGCTTAACAATTTGCCTTTCTTTTCCCTGCATTGTGCACCTGCAAAACTACCATCCTTTAATGTTAGTCACATACTTATGGGACTTGGAGAGAATTTTCTTTTAGATACAGATTCATTTACCAATTCACTTCCTGTGACCAAAGCAATCATGGTTCTCAAATAATTTGGTGAATATTTTGCCCTTTTCTCTGATCTTTATTCTCTCTTCAGTAATCAGGGGTGTGCGGAAGAGATTTTCATACAACAGAGAAACATTGAGCAGCATATTGAAAAGTTTTTTTTTAAGATTTTATTTATTTCTAGAGAGGGAAGGGAGGGAGATAGAGAGAAACATCAATGTGTGGTTGCTGGGGGTTATGGCCTGCAACCCAGGCATTGTACCCTGGCTGGGAATTGAACCTGTGACACTTTGGTTCACAGCCCGTGCTCAATCCACTAAGCTACGCCAGCCAGGGCTTATTAAAGAGTTTTTTAAATAATGGAATAAATTACTTACTCCTGAAAGCTATATTTATGCCATGAACGGTCTCTTCAGAATTTCAACTGCCTAGAACTGCATGCAATGTCACGCAAAGATCGTACCAACAGGCTACAGGGAAGCGTTATTGCCCCCGGCAGCTGTAGCCCTTTTCGGTTGGGGTTACATTTCAGTCTGCGTTAACGGACATATTTTCTGATGCCCTTTTGTGTTTGTTAGGTCAGAGTCGCTCAAGAAACCAGACGGACACAGGGAGCCAAGGAGCAGGGTTTATTAGCGGGAATAAGAGGGGAAGTGGAGCCAGCCAAGGGAGGTTGGGGAGCCACCCAAGGGAGGTTAGAACTTGCTCGGTTGTTTTTAGGGCAGGGTTTTAAGCGCAAAAACCCTTGAAGGGTAACTGGTTGGGGTGTCAGAATCTAATCGGTTAGAGCTGGTTGCTCGGTGCCACTTCTGCTGACCACACATCTTGTCAGCTGTGGGTTAAAGCTGCATCCTGTTATGCCGGATAGGCCGACCCGGACCCCAACCTTAGCCAGGCATCTGTTTGTCCCAGGTAGGGTCTGCAGGCCATTTCCCAGGCAGGCAGTTTCCCATGTAACAGTTTCCAACGGTGATTTTCCATTCCTCCTAGGCCTGCCTAGGTCTGTCAGTGTTCCATAAAGGCATATGCTCTGGAAAACTCACAGATCACTTACTTCTTACTCAGGGCTCCCCCCGTCATTCTCCTTGTTTTGTTGTCTGACAGTCCTACCCTCATCTTAAGACTTATACAAAAATAGCAGGTTCCCATCTGCCTCCAGGCCTCTGCTCATCCTGCACACTCAGACAGGAAAGCTTCTCCTCCTCCTCCCTTCAATCTCTCCTGGGAAATACCTACACTCTTTGGTCCTCAATTCAAAGGTCCTCCCTCAACAGAGTTTAAGCTTCTGTACTTTTTACTCTGAGCACACACATTTGTGTAAATACCTGTTTAATATTTGTGAGCCCCACTAGATTACATGTTCCATTAAATTACAGTCTATAATTTTTTATTTATTTTATTTTTAAAAAGATTTTATTTATTGACTTTTGGAGAAAGGGAGAGAGAAAGAGTGGGAGAGGAACATCAACATGATGTTACAGAACAAACAAGGGGGGCCTGGAACAATATAAAGACGCCCCCAGGTCCATTATGTCTGCCGCCAGAGGAAAGACGTCTCTCAATGCCAGAGATTTGTGAAAAGGAAACGTTTATTTAATGCTATACAAACTTAAAGTAGGGACCTAATGTCTTCACCAAAAATCCTAAAGTCCCTTAAAGCACCCACAAACAGACACAGTCCTTCCTTCCTCCCCCCTTTGCCCAGTCCAGAGTACCGTATCTCCTAAAGCTGCGGGGGTCCCTACTCTGGCAAAGGCACGCGGTCCTCTCTCCCCGGACCATGGGAGTCCCCACTCTGCCAGAGCCGCGTGGTTCTCCCTCTCAGGGTTGCAGGAGTCTCCACTCCGTCAAGGCCACGTGGTTCTCTCCCTCAGGGCCGCGAGAGTCTGCTAAAGCTGTGCGGTTCTCTCTTGCAGGGCTGCGCATGATTCTCCCCCTCAAATGGCTGCTGCGTCTCTGTTTAAATCCCAGTGCCAATCTTCCTCTGAAGCCCCATTTCCGGCTCCTCTCACAATTGGCTACAGCTGCCAGATTCTGGGCAGGTGTGGCCCTGTGGTGTGGAGCCAATTATCTCCAGGCTCTTCTGGATCTTATTACAGATCCCTATTTGAGGCTCCCCTCTTGGCTGCACCCTGTTACAATGTGATTGCCTCTCTTGTATTCCAAATGGGGACCTGGCCTGCAACCCAGGCATATGCCCTGACTAGGAATCAAACCAGTGACCCTTTGGTTTGCAGGCCAGCTCTCAGTCCACTTAGCCACACCAGCCTGGGCTCGTTTTTTATTTTTTAAAAATTGTTATCCCAGTCCAATTATACATTTATTGATTTTAGAGAGAGGGAAGAAGGGGGAGGGGGAGAGAGAAACATTGATCAGTTGCCTCTCTGCATGTACTCTGACTCTCTCACAGGAACAGAAACTGCAACGGAGGCATATGCCTGGATCGGAATCAAATCCATGACCCTTTGGCGCACAGGATGGTGCTCCAACCAACAGTGCCATACCTGCCACAGGTTAAAAAAAATTTTGTTAGAGAAAGAGAAACATCAATTTTGTTGTTGTTGTTCCACTTACTGATGCATTCATTGGTTGATTCTTGTATGTATCCTGACCAGGGATGGAACCCGCACTTTGGCTTATCTGAAGATACTCTAACCAGCCAGGACAGGGCCTATCAATTTTTTAAATCACTGTCTACAAAGCACCTAGCCTGATGCTTTGATAAAATGATTTCAAGCAACTAAAAATACATACATATATAACATAACAGTAATTTTAAACTGTGGGATACAAAACTGTTTACCAACTGGTTCTAATTTGGGAGAAAATTAACGTGCATAGAAAAAAAATGTGCCGGCTGGTGTAGCCCAGTGGATTGAGTGCCAGCCACAAACCAAAGTCACTGGTTAGATTCCCAGTCTGGGCACATGCCTAGATTGCAGGCGAGGCCCCCAGTGTGGGGCAGGCAAGAGGCAACCACACATTGACGTTTCTCTCCCTCTCTTTCTCCCTCCCTTCCCTCTCTAAAGTTAAATAAATAAAATCTTTTTTAAAAAACAACAAAAAAGAATGTTATTACCTAATCAAAAATGTTAAATGTTTGCAAGGCAGAAAACACACTAAAACATTGAAACTGACTATCCCAGAAGAGTGTGGCAAGGATTTTGTTGTACATGTTCGCTAGTTTTTCTACAGTGAACATGAATTACTTTTATGACCCCAAAAAGGACATGCTCTTTAGGAAAGACCTTTGGCAACTTCGAGGGCAGTTTGCTGGAGTTGGGAGAGAGGGGAGCCGCGATGCGAAGGCTCCCGCTACAAAGGTGACCAAATAGAGTCTGTTGCGTGGGAGAGAGCGGAACACAGCATATGTGTGTGCTGCGGAGGAAAGAACCACGAGAAAGGGAGAAACACGGGAAACGCTGGCAGAGGATGGGGCGAAGAGGCACCGGCCCCCTGCGACGTCACTCCCGTGGGACCGTCCACTGGCCGGGGGACCGGAAGCAGGGTGGGAAAAAAGGAAACGGGGATTGGCGGTCTGTTGCGGGTGCTACTAAGCAAGGAAATCAGAATCGGGTGAATGGACCCTCCACAAGAGACCGTAAGACGCCCGCACTGAGAACCTCTGCCACAGCTGGAAAAAAAACAGTGGAACTACACACCACCCCACCTCTCCCATAACCCCTTCCCTCATCCGGGAGGTGCTGTGGAAGACAGGCGCAGGAAGGGGCGGGGCCGTGAGTACCCAATCCTTGCGCGATCTCGCGAGAGCAAGCAGAGCAGGGAAGCGCAGGCTGCAGGATGCGGTTCCTGGTTGTGTTGGTCGTACTGAGCGTCACAGCGGCGGGTAAGACACCCCCCCCCCCCCAAAAAAGAAGTCCCACTCTCGCCCGGGACACATCACCCTCATCATGCCTGGTCTCCATCTGTGCTTGCTTCTTCTCTGCCCGACCCATCCTTCCCCTCGCCTTCACCTTCACCACCAACGTTTGCCAGTTGCCCCAGTCCCTTCTAGCTCTGAGGATTCCTTTTTCCCGACCTGCTTTGCTTCAGGGCCAACTGGTTTCTCTTTTTCAGGAGCCGCGCTGCCCATTTCTCGTCCATCAACCGATGAAAAACTGCTTCTCAATCGGGAGAAGGGAAAGACTGCAGAAAGTGTCCCCAGCCAGCCCTACCCGAGTTATCAGTCTAAGAAGGAGAAACCCGCTCCCTCTCCCTCTCCCTCTCCCGCAGAGCTGCCTAAGGAAAACGACAATGTTGAGATGACCACACCACACCTGTCCACCAGGGACAGTTCTGACAAGTCAGAGAAAGAGCCCCAGCCCAAGAAAAATACTTCTGACAAGTCTGATCAGGAGCACAAGCCCACGAAGGACCCTTCTGACAAGTCGGATCAGGAGCACAAGCCCACGAAGGACCCTTCTGACAAGTCGGATCAGGAGCACCACCAGCCCCGGGAAGACACTTCTGACAAGTCAGAGACAGAGCACAAGCCCACGAAGGACCCTTCTGACAAGTCGGATCAGGAGCACAAGCCCACGAAGGACCCTTCTGACAAATCGGATCAGGAGCAGCAGGACACGAAAGACACTTCTGACAAGTCAGAGAAAGAGCACCATCCCCCAAAAAATACTTCTGACAAGTCTAATCAGGAGCACAAGCCCACGAAAGACACTTCTGACAAGTCGGAGAAAGAGCACCAGCCCACAAAAGACGCTTCTGACAAGTCGGATCAGGAGCACCAGCCCACAAAAGATAGTTCTGAGCCTGGAGGGGGTTCTCCACCCAAAGGAGAGAAAGAAATTGGCCCTGCCTCTGGAGAGAACCATGAAGGGACACTTTTGGATTCCACAAATAGGAAGAAGGATGACCTTTATAAGGACAATCTTGGAAGTGCCAGTGCAGAGAGCAGCCACTTCTTTGCTTATTTGGTGACAGCAGCCATTCTTGTCGCTGTCCTCTATATTGCCTATCACAACAAGCGGAAGGTAAGTCAACAGTCACCTTAAGAGGAATGGGATATCCTCTCCCCTGAAAGCTTGGAGTATGCGCTAGTATTCATCATTTATCTGCCTGTGAGCACTGGGGATTTCAAGACATTTCAGTTTTGTTTTGTTTTCAGATCCTGCTAGGCTCTACTCTTGTTTTATAAATTATTTTCATGTCTGTTTCCTCTGAATGTCCTCTGCTGCCGCATTAGGTGCTAAGTGAGGACATTACTACCAGTTTGACCTGAATTGGGGTCTCCTCCTATAATCTTGAACTTAGATCCTTCACAGCCTCAGAGGACCTGAGTAACTGACAATTTGTAACTAGAGCATTTATTTTCCTGTTTCCACTCTCAAAACAGTGCACCATTTCTGAGTTTTCAGTCTTCCACCTGCAGTGGCAGAAGGAAGTTACACTGTTTTTGACTTCCACAGCAGAGAGCCCAGGGGTTATCTTCTACAGTCATTTGAATTTCTGATTAGAAGAAAGACCAGAAAGTGTATGGATATACGCATCTTTTACTTCTTATTTTTTAAGTATTTTATTGGTTTATTTTTAGAGATGAAGGGAGGAAGAAAAAGAGGGAGAGAAATATCAATTTGTGGTTGCCTCTTGCACACCCCTTCCTGGGGACCTGGCCTGCAACCCAGGCCTGTGCCCTGGTTGGGAATCAAACCAGCAAACCTTTGGTTCACAGGCCAGTGTTCGGCCACTGAGCCACACCAGCCAGGGCTCATCTTTTACTTGTTTATCAGGGTTTGGTGTGCGCTAATATCTGTGTCACTTAGCAATCACTCCAGTGACAAAATGATTGCATTCTTTATTAAGCTCTTAAGAATTAAGTACATAGTTTCTGTAGCCTGGTCAAAACTGGAGAGCTCAATCATGACAGCCATAAGGCCTATGGCTATAAGGAATGAGGGAAGACATTTAGTTAAAATGGTGCACTCTTTGTTCTACATCCAGCATCATGGAGAGTGACCTTAGGCATACAATGAGAGTGGTATGGTTAAGATGAGGCAAAGTGTGGGCTGAAAGTGTGCATTAGCAGAAAAGAAAAAGAATTGCTTATGATTTTTTTGAAAGATTTCATTTTTAAAGGAGAAGGGTGGGAGAAAGAGGTGGAGAGAAACATCAGAGAAACATTGGTGGGTTGCCTCTCACACATGCCCCAGTAGGACACCAGACCCTCAACCCAGGCCTGTGCCCTGACCGGGAATCAAACTAGCAACCTTTTACTTTGTGGGATGATGCTCTGCCAACTAAGCCATGCCAGTCAGGGCTGCTTATGATTTTGCAAAAGGAAAAAAATGTCTTATCTTGGTGCTCTCCAAGGAAGAGGTGGCAGATCTTTGATTGAATACTCTTGAGTAAATCAACAGATTCCCACAAGCTAGAGCACAGAACAGCCTTCCTCCCTCTGTTCTTTTCTATTTAGCAGTATACTAAAGCAGATTCTAATAGAACTAAGCCCTGTCCTCCTTAAAATTGTTATAATTTAAACAGGCTTCTTTATGGGTGTACTGCTCTTTTTACTGTCAGGGTTATTAACAAATACACTACCAGGTGAGTACCTCTGATTTCAGAGACTGAAATATGTCATTATAGAATCACTTGTTAATGATACTCTTTTTTTTCTTTCCCCAGATTATTGCTTTTGTCCTGGAAGGAAAAAAATCCAAACTTACTCGGCGGCCAAAGGCCAGTGACTATCAGCGTTTGGATCAGAAGGTAAGGAAGGAAGACCCAGGTCCATGGGAAGGCTCTGCAGCCGGGCCCAGCAGTGGGCTTGCATTTGGCACAGAAACAGCAACTGGTTCTGGGGGTGCTGGTACCCTTGCCCCTGCCCTTTTCAGACCACAAAGTAGAGACATCAAATGTGCGTGTCTATAGGGTTAGAGCTAAAAGACCTTTAATTACTTCACAACAGGTCCCTCCTTTGACAGAGGAGGAAACTCAGGTCCAGAAATCATTTTTCCCCCTTAAATTCTCACCTTAAATATGTGGCAAAATCAAGGCCTGATGGCAACTCCCTGGGCTCCCATCCTGTATTTTTCGTCCTGTCAGCACTTCACAAATTTTCTTAAGCATTGTGATAGAAAGCAGCCTGATGCACTATCTGTGGGGTAGAGCCCATGCTCCTGCATTTCCAGGAGGTTCCCAGATGGCGTAAATGCTGCTGGTACCACACATTAGGGAGCAAAGCACTAGACTACACTCCCTGAAAATAAAGGAATCCAGAAACATAGGCCTCCAGCTTTCCAGACCAGCCCTGCTAAGCGCTGTTGACTAGATTTCCTGAGTGCAGCCAACCCATGCCCCTGCCAGAAAGCAAAGACCTCCTTCCACCCTTCAGCAGCGGGAGCCGAGGAAGGTTCTCCTCAAAGGCAGTTGTCGAAGCACAGTGTACTCCCACTGCCTCACTGCTGGCAGGCACCTTTCTGTTCCCCTTCTCTGTAGCAACAACAAGGGCATTGGTGAAGAGTTGTTGGTGGCCCAACTGCAAGTTGTTCCCAGACTTCCTACAGGGAACACAGTTCACACATACAGCTTGTACCAGCTGTAGAATAAGCTACTTGGCTCAGTAGCTGACTGGCCCAGTAGGTCACCTTCATCGTGTAGCCCTGGCCAAGTACCTTTCCAGATAGTTGCCTTTAAGGATTGTCACCCCCCTTGATTTATACATTTTTTCTGATTTTAAAAAAGGCACATATAAACAATTCAAAACAACATAGAATGGTACAAAGCAGCAGCCAAGATTCTCAAATTTCCTCCACCAAATGTATATTTTCTAGTGTATGTTTTATTTATGTATATTTAGTATATATTTTTATCAAACCTACTTGTAAAATAATTTTAGGTGTTTTTATTTTATCAATGGCTGTTTTTATGGTGGAGGGTCTTAATTCTGGGTTTTCTTTTTGAGCTTCAACTCCTTTAAAATCTTTTTCCCCCTAAAAAATCATGGCAGTAAGGTATATTCCTCTGGAAGAAGAAGAACGTTATCAGTGCATTGTGTTATTTTCGTTTCAGATGTGATTTTTCTGTTTTCGAGAACCTCGTCCTCCCTGCTGATTTGTTTCTAAATCAAGAGAAATGAAGAGCAAAGTACTGTGAACTAAGGGACACCCCCGAGAGTTTGGTGGCAATCCAGGCTGGCAGAGGCGGGGGTTTGGGTTGGGGCATTGCTTTGGGTTTTGCACCTGCACTTTGGTGACCTTGTCCTCCCGTGCTCCCATTATCTGCGCTGGCGCCTTCCACCTTTGCCCCCCTGAGTGGGAGTGGGAGTGAGCGTGTGGGAACCCAGCTTTGACCAAAGGGAGATCCCAGCCCCAGGCAGGCTAATACTGCCGACTGTCCTCCCTGGGGCCTTGGCTCTGCAGTAAAGTTATCCCTTGAAAATAGCATTGCACTGGCCACTATTTATGTTTGCAGGCCTAGGAGAAAACTCAGGAGGCTGAGGTACTTTTCTACCTGGGCCTCTTATTTTGAGGGGGGATGTGCCCTGAAAGATAAATAATGTGAATGTTGCCGGGCAAAGGGCTACATTGAACACAATTTTTTTCAAAGGCTTCAGCAGCAAACCAAAACAGCTTTAAAAAAGCGTTTTACTGCCTGCTACCCGCAAGTTCAACCTGTCTAGTTTAAGTTCTTCACATGTTTATGATATTGTCATATGACTTAGGACAAAGTGAATCAGCTTCCATTTGGTTGTACTGAACATAAAACTGAACTTCCCCAAGTTCTGGGAGTAAAGCTAAAGCTGTACAGCCACTGTTCTCGTCGCAGATTTTTAAAATATACTTACGATTATTGAAACACCCTTCTTTCTTACAATCATAGCAGGAAACTTTTAGAATAGGGTAAGTTCATGCTTTGTACAAGAGCACATGCAGAAGGGTTTTGGTTTGGGTTTTGGTCTGCATTGTTTTCAGAGGTCTTTTATGAAATAGGTTCCCCACAAACACTATTTTGCCTGTCTTGCCTAAAAGAAAATAGACATATTTAGGAACTAACTGTACTCTTTCTTTTACCTTAATCTAATTAATGGTCTTCCCAACTGATACAGAATGCTAAGGGTAGTTAAAATTCTGTCCCATGGGGGGAGTTATGAAAATTTAAGAAATTTAGAGTTCCCCCAGGATCACTGAGGGTAGTGTCTTGGATCAAGCTGTTCAGAGTCTTATGTAAATCTCCTCTAGCTGTGCTACCCTATTACAGAGAGCTGGGAAAAAAGTTGTTACTGCAGAGGAAAAACCGAAAACAACCTCAGGAAACAGAATGTGGGAAGTGAGGGGAATTCTGTGCTGCCGAAGACAGTCTACGGAAGGGACCATCGTGTTTGTCACGTTAGCTTCCACCTCGCTTAAAACAGTTCCTGGCTGTGAGTTGAGCTTTTCACCCAGTGCAGGTGGAGATCGAGGATGAGTGAGTGCTCTACTTATGCCCCAGTCTTATGTTGGAAACCTTTCTTGCAGTCAGAGGAATCTTCTAGCAGGCTCCCCTAGCACTCCTTAAGACCATGGTTATTTTATTCCCTGTTCTGTCCGTCCCTGCCTTTCCTCCTCCTCGCCAATGTTTTCTATTCCTCCCTCTCTAGCACTTTTCCTCCGACCTTCATGCACGCACAGACACCCTCTGCCCCACCCCCTGCAACCATCCATCTTATTCAGTCTGCTGTTCGACTTCTCTAGGAAGTAGTGCTTCCCTTACTTTGCCATTTATTCTCTTCATAATTTTTACAAACTCACTTTGGTCCCTGCCTTTCTACTGTTTTTCTCTAGGTTCAGATCCAGACATATTGTCAAAACTTAGTCTTGACCTTGACAGAATTGGACACTATTGACCATCCAAACAAATTACCCTCTTGTGGTTGCTCTGACATACTGCCCTTATGTCATGAGCTCCTTGGCCTCACCCTGTGCTGATGGGAGAAAGCCCCTCAAAGGCAGTTCTCTGTATTCCTTTGTCTTCTCAGAAATTCATTCATTCTCCATCCTCTGAGTGGCTACAGAATCTTTGTCCTTGCCTAGTTCCCAGAGGAACCAGTCCTGTCATGTGCTGGATATTCCAGCATGGTTGTCCTGTCGTCACTGAAACGGAATTCCCTTCTACCCATTCAACTGCCTCCCTCAACTGCCCGATTCTTTTATCCTCTCAACTCCAAACTACAGACTATTACCATTTTTATCACTTCACAAAAATCTTATCCATTTAAAAAAAAATTCTAGCTACAATCTTTCCATTTTCCCTGCTTCCTTGTCCCATACCCATTTCACCTCTTTCCTGGATTTTTTTTTTTTCAGGAGCTACCTTAATTGGTTCTCCTGTCCATCTTTTCTTACGAACATAAAGAGGCCAGGTTGATCTTTCTGAAATACTTGCCTGGATCTGAAGCTTCTGTTTGTGTCCCTCATGGCTTAGAGACCCGAGGTTATAGGCTCTGCAGGATTCAGGACTCTGCACACGGGCACTCGTTTGCCCGTCTTTCTCTGCATTCTGGCCAGGCCAAAGGCCCCTTGTGTTGGGTGTCTGTCCAGGCCTGCATGCTTTTTGTTCTTGCATTCCCTGGTTTCCCACAGTTATTCTGTGGTTAGGTTGCCCTCCCTTCTCTTTTTTTCCTCTTACCTCCCCAGACTTTGTTTTCCTTGGGGCCCAGCTCAGCTTTTCCCATGCACCTCCCTAACTTCCCCAACCTTGGGATTGGCTCTTCTTATTCTCCTGTAACAGCTCTTAATATTATGTCAGTCACAAATTTTGAAACTTCAGCAAAACAGGGCAGTCAGTATTTGATGTCTCCAGTCTCCCCAAGAAAACCAAGCTACCTGAGTGTCCTGGGCACCGTCTGCACTTTGGCCTAGCATGGTGACGTCTCTCAGGTACTTCAGTTCAGTTTCTTCTCCTCCCAAAGGAAATGTTTTCTCTGCTCGGGACCTCTGGATGTGACTTAACTGAGGTCTCACCCGGCTCTTTCTGGTTATTGGTTGCTGTCCTTGACTGATGGACTTTGCTCAGTGAGGAGCAGAAAGGAAGGTTGTTTCAGGAACCGAGGGTTGGTTTTGCTGTGGAATCTGCACACTCCACTTTTTGAGCCTCTGAGAAGTATTTCTTATGGTGAAAGAGTACAATAGAATTTAAGTTTCATTTAGAAATTGCACTGAAGTAAATCTCTCACACCAAAGGAAAACTTGTTTTCTGGGTAGTTTTTGTTTTTTGAAGCATGTTTTTCTAGAGATTGTGTGTGGATGAGGGTGAGCTGGCTGAGGTATCTCTTTAAGCCCGCGGAGTGGGGGGTGCGTACGGGAGTCCAAGAGAGGGACCCCTCTCTAGACAGTTTTAGGCTTCCCTTCCTGCCCCCAGCTTTTGGTTGAAGGGTGGTTTCTGTCAGGAGGAATCTAATCTAAGCTCCAGTCATGGATGGGACTGGAGGAACTTGTTCCTCTGCAGGATTACTGAGTAGAATTGTGCAGACTCCATTCCTGGACTCTCCAGGAGCAGAATACCTGTCACATCAGAAGGCTAAGACAAGTTGGAAAGACCAATTAGTTTTTTTATACACTTTCACATTTCTTTTCCCATCATGGCTTGCAATGAAATATTTGGTAGTAGAATTATAAACCTCTAAAATTACCCTGATGGTGATTCTCATTTTGTTCTCCAATTCATGTTGATTAAATCAGAGAAAACATAAAAGGAAGCCTGCCTCTTGTTTGTACAGGGTGAGTTGGTACACAATGCCGCATGTGTGTGGAAGGACGCGCGCTTTGCACATGCTGAGTCTTTGCACATGCTGAACCGTTTGGACAGGGAGGAGTGTTATATACCAGACCTGGTAGCTCTGCTAGCTGTTTTCTGAAAACTCTTGCTAGGGAATTGTTTAGTATGACCTTGCTTAAGGATCCTGGGAAGAGATTTTCAGGTTTAATTGAACTGTATATCCAGAGCAAAGACTGATTCTTAAGTTAGAAACTCCTCTGTGAAAGGGTTGACTCTGAGCTGTATAGTTTCAAGCTGCCAACAAAGCCAGCCTCTCCGCACTGATATATATATATATATAAGATATGATAGATATTCCTTTAATTCAGAAAGCTACCATGTTAAATGATTGTTGACATTGTTTCCCTGCTTTTTTGTTTACCTAATTAGTAGATTGCCACTGTTTTGCAGTGTTTTATATTTTCAGCTTTTGTAATTTAACTGTAATTTTTTAAAGCTTGTTTGGTCTAATGAGTATTTTTCAGTACCTAATGTTTTACTGAGCTTCTATGAATGCTACTTGATGTAATTTTGTATTATTGCACAGAAACTGAAATAAACTTCAGATACTAAAGCCATGGATCATTTTATTTTTACCCTTTAGTCTTCATTCACCTTCTCATCCAACGTCCAATAAACTGGAAATGCCATTCTGGGCTTTGTATATATACATCCTGTAGCTTTCCCTGCTGTGCTGGTGACCGATTTCCAACCCCACTTGTCCTCTGCACCAGGCAGCCCGTTCTAGGTCTAGGAGGCAGCTAGCTGGGCCCTTAGTCATTCTTCATTATTCATTCAGTTACCTCTTGGAACTTGCCTCTGCTGTACTGTTGGCCTGGAATGCTCTTACAGCCTGCTTCAGCCCCGTGAAGTCACCCTTCCAGTCCTCTGCCCTACTAGTATCACCCTTTGCTCTCTATCTTTGGAAGATAAGGCTTGAGGCTCCATGAGGGTGTGTCTTGGTGCTGGCACATTGAGAACCCAGGGTCACCCTAATTACAAGGACAACAAACTTAGGGCCTTGGCTGCATACGAATTGGATATTATCTTGTAACACATACCTTGCTAAGTAATACATCTTGTCATTACCTCCAGCCCCCACTACCACATTGAACCTATCACAGGTCACCCTCTGAAAGAGCCACTGGAACCCACCAAAAATAGGATCTGGAGTCCTCTGAACCCATGAAACTTTGACCAAAACCTCACTAGGCACCTTTTTCTTTACCAGTGTAGACTGCGGCACAGACTGCAAGTGGATGAGGAAAAGCCTCGAGACGGCTGGTCTAGCATTTTCAGGGGTTCTAGCCCCCTGACCAGAGAATATTCAGTTTAATTGCTGAGTTAGGAGGGATGGGTGTGGGGTGCTGAGCACTGCTTAATGAGATATTAAGGCTATCCAAATCAGTAGGCTCCTGGGGCCTTTTATTAGGGCTGGCATGTTACAAAAGGTGTGAAAGATCATCCCTGCCCCAGCCAGAAGAGCTTCATTTGAAGAACTGTGATCTGTGCTAGCCCTATGCGTCGGATCTCCATTCAGAAATCAAAAACAAATGAGAGTGCTTTATCTAAGCAGAAACGAATGCTGAAAGACATTATAGCTAAGTCAGCGGCCGTGCCACAGCACTGGCCAAATTCCTCCGACTCATCCCTGACTGGACTAATTGTTCTTCTTTTGTGCCTGGATCCTTGAACCAAGCTTCTTGAGGTCTAGGTACAAGTTCCGCTTCAGGATGGCACCACTGCACAGAAGGGCCCCTTGCAGGGCCCCCATCAACCCACAGGTGAAGATATCCTGGCCTAGGAGACAAGAGGAGAGACCCATGAGCAGCCCCCCAAGTAGGGGGGAGGGTAAGGGCTCTCGTGTTCATCCCTCAGTGCTGGGCCACCCTGAGACAGCTTCAGATCAGGCCCAGGATCCATGGCCTGCAGAGGCAGCCCAGGGCGGGTGTAGGATGCTGCGGGGGCAGAAGGGCCCAAAGATCCAGACAGAGGACTGTGGATGATAGGGAGGCCTTGGGTCTCAGCTCTTGACAAGATGAGGCAGTCAGTGTACCTGTCAGGTAGAGGTTGGGGATGGGGCTTTGGGCCCTGATGGAGACTATTCCATGAGGATGCAGGCGGCTCAGGTCGTGGTCAGCCCCGTAAGTGGCACCCTGGAAAGCAGCCAGATAGAACTGATTGGTCAGCGGTGATCCTCCAGTCACACTGTCCACCTAAGAGACAAAAAAGGCAGCCACAGGGTGGGAGTGAGACCTTGTCAGATCCTCATGTCTTCCTCTTCTGCTCTCCTTGAATGAGCTGACAGCCTGCACGGGTTCCCTGCCTTCCCCGGAGCTCAGTTATCTCAGGGTTTCACTTCCCTGCCCTGAAGAAAAGGGAGAAATGGCACCAAGAGTTCCCACAACCATATGGTCTACCTACCTTTCCCTCCAGCTGTGGGAACAGCTTCATGACAACTGACAGAGAGGCTTCAACAAAGGTGGTTTTCAGGGTCTCATAGTCGCTGCTCCGCTTTCCTTTTGGCTCCTCCCACCACTCCTCAAACCACTCGTAGGAGGTGGGCACCAGCACAATCATCGTGGACCGGTCTTGGGGTGCAAAGCCAGGGTTATTGCTGCCTGGCCCCTTCCTACCCCACCCTCTCCCCCGGGACCTCAAGCCCCACCTGGAAATCGGTCCTCCCAAGTCGGGTCCTTAGCTGACGGGGAACCAATGAAGAGAAGAGGCATGTGTGCTGCCGCCTTTTCCCTGGGCATGGAGAGGTAGCGCTCCATCCTGAGGGTGAGAGGGGTGTGGCTGCCAGCCCACGGCCTTGGTCCTCACTGCCACCAGCACCACCCCAAGGACAGTTCATCACCAGGGACGCCCCTTTGCCCCCAGGGACGAGGCTGAGGCACGGCCTAGGTGTGGAAAAAGCCCTTCCTGGGGTAAATTCTTGCCCACTTCCTCCCATTCCATCTCCTGCTGCTGACTCCCCAGTGTCCAGGGAGGAAGCGGGCGTCCATGGGCTGTGGGCCCATGCTGACACTCTCGCTCCCCCCCGCCCACACACACAAGCCTTACGCTTTGTCCATGTCTGTGTCAAAATAAACATAGTAGTTGGTAGACTGCAGCCCCAAGTCCTTCTTGGTGCCTCGTAGGCAGATGAAGACAGACACCATGCCCAAGCCTGGCCGTACCATCTCCAGCTGCTGCTTCACACCTGCCAAAGACAGCTGGTGAGGGCCGTGCGCACTGCGGCCCGAGAGGGCCACCTGCCCCGGACAGCCTGCTGCAGCCGCTCACTGCACCTGCAGCCTAGCCTCAGTTGCCAGCCTAGTGCTTGGGCTGTTTTTATCATGTTATTTCAACTGTAACTGTTGAAATAACAATTAATTGGCAGGGCCTGTCTCCTCCCTCTCAAGGACATAGCGCCAGACTGACTCTTCCACCACCACCCACTGCTCTAGCACCTTAGAAGCCAATGGTGCACAGCCTCCCTAAGCCAGCCCACAGTGCCTGCAGGACAGTCTCAGACTAACTGCCGCCTACCTTCCCCTTATGTCTGAAGTTAGGAGTGATGACTGGGCTCCACGCTATAGAGACCACACATTGAACAGTAGTTTGTTGTAAGCCTGAATTCCAGTATGAACTTTGATACAAGCCATCTAATAAATGAATATACACAATTTATAATGTGCAGTGCAGTCAATACAAGGCTTCGAAACAGTAAGCAATACAAAGGAACAAATTCGAACAACATTCCTGGCACGTGGCATTTCAGGGTTCAGCGGCGGTGGAGGGGAGAACAGCACTATGGAGGGAGGCAACGGCCATCTGCTGTCCCCCAGGACCGAAGCAGCTGGGCTTCCCCACCTCTCAATAAATCACCCCAGACAGGTTTTCCAGAAATTGCTCTTACAATTCTTATCCTTTGTCCCCATTCCCATTCCCAGCCCCAGCCCCAACACCTGCTTGAAGGGTAACACTGGCAGCTCTGCTTAATTCATTTTGCAACTATTTGTCGAGGACAAAATGTGCTGAACCCTCTGCAGGCCCTGGGGGTGCTGTAAGGAGTCAGACATGCTGCCTGTCTACTGAAAAAGACTTTCCTGAAATAAGCTGGACAGCCTCATAGAGGCTGCAAAGAACTGAGTGCTCCAGGTGGCGTAACCATAGAATCTACTGAAAACAGGCCACTTTTAAGAGCAAAAGGGAGGACTATCATAATTACAGTAAGACAATTGGCATAAGATGCCCCACCGTGATGGGGGAAGGGGAATGTGGGCTTCCGCAGCTGCGGTCAGGAGCAATGGACCACCCTGGGGCCACAGGAGCACCTTACCGCCCGGTCCCAGCGTCCGGGGGTAATCACACTTCTGGCACTCCCTCTCCGGTGGGGTTGGGTGGGCACAGAGAGAACCAGCGGCCCAGAAGTGAAAGCCCCTAGGCTTTCTGAAGCCCCTTAGAACAGCAACTACCTCTACCCAGCCCCTTTGCCCTTTCCCCAGCTAGAAGAAAGAGGTCCAGGAACCACATACCTGGCAGAAAAATATAACCTAGGGTCCTGAAGAAGGCACAGTTACACCAACCCTTTCTTCTCCACACCAGTCTTTGCTTCCCTTACTACTGTGATGAGACCAGGCTTCCCCACTCAAAAATGTCCTCTCCGAACCACCCCCAGTCACCACCCCAAGGCTCAGCAGCGAGGTTTAAGAAAGGCACGCTCATTCACAAAGGTTCCCTCTGCCTGACCATCCCACCTCCACCCACAACCCCCACCTGGCTCCACCTGTCCGACAGGCCAGCAGATACCTGGTTCCCATCTCTGACATAGGAAGAGAACTATGAAAACGTCTACCCCCAACAGCTAGAAACAAAGGAGTCCCACCACTGGGATCTCTGAATTAAGCATCATCTCTGTCACTGCCTGAAATATTCTCAAACTGGGATTTATCTGGGGCAGCATCCAGCTCCCCAACCAAGGAGGCAATTGGTCCTTCAGCCAGGTGGAGGCTGGCACCATTAGCCTGTTTTCAGGGCTGAGCTACCTATGCACAATGAGAGCTACTATACAGTGAGAAAAGGCAAGCTGGGAAGGTAACATGGCTACCTGGAGAGAAGACAGACCTGGGTGGGACCCCAGGACCTCTTAGAGGACAGCGTCAGGGATCAGAGATGCTGGGAGAGAGGGAGGGAGGATGTACCAAAGGCAAAATCTGGTGGTCAGTCCACCCAGCCCTACCCCATTGCCCTGCACCGGCAGTCTCAACCTCAGCCCACTCAGCTCACCCAGTCTGAGGGAGGAGGCCTTCGCCGGCAGCAGATGCTGGCTGAGGCCCAGCCAAGTAAGGCAAGGGAATGAGAAGGCTGGTTTTCAGTAGAACATATACCTTGGAGCCAAGTACAACTGCCACCCACCCTCTCCCCCACAAGGAACCCAGGGCCTCACTTTTCTGCTGAACCCACTCTGCTGACCACCTCTCCAGCTCCTCAAACAGTAGCCACCACCCCCATTTCGGGGGTGGAGAGCCCCCGCCACTGCTCTCTGGGCTGCTCCTCTGTGCCCTTCCATCTCGACCGCATCGAGCTGCTCCCGTCTCCACCTGCAGCCCCAGCCAGAGGCCTTTAGCTACGCCCCTCTCGTACCCTCCTGGGTCACTGGCCCCTCCAGGCCAGCAGCCTCCTTCCCGCAGGTCACTCCAGTAACTTGTAGTGACACGATATCCTAAAGTCCATTTCAAAACAGTTACCTCTCACCTAACTTTGGCTGAGCCACTTGGTTCCTCACATGCTGACGGGCTTCCCTGCGCCTTTTAGTGAGGTCCTGTCTCTGGAAGCTTCTCAGACGAGAGGGGGCCAAGAGCATTCTCATCTCAGCTTTGCCACCTGCGGTTAGGTGGCCTTGAGAAGTTCTTTCCCCTACATGGCCTCAGTTTCCCCAGCCATAAACATCAGGATGATGACGGCTCCTTCCCAGGTAGCTATAAAGGTCAAACGCAATGACCCACCCAGGGCCAATCGTGACTGTGCCCACCTGTTCCTGCTCCTCCACGAAGCCAGACTCTTCTTTTCACACATGGCTTTTCAGAAGAGATGACTACACTGAGGTTTTTTTCTACCTGGCACCCAGATTTCGGGCCCAGGTTTCAAGGAACAGAAGCTAAAAGGGTATGTTGCAGCCACAGCCCCAGTGAGGAGCTGGCTCTGAAAGAGGCAGAAAAATATACCCTTGCTTCCCAAATAAGGCACCCAACAATTATGCCAAGCCTTCTTCCTCCACGGCAGCCTTAGCTTCCCTTACTGGTAATGTCAGACCAATCTTTCCCACTCAAAATAAGTGAGGAATTAGGGAAGGAAGCAGAATTTATATGACAAACTTAGTGAAAACCCAAGAAATGTTCCTTTTGGACTCTGCCCACCACCATTAACCATTAGAGAGATGATCTGAGATCTAGAAAAACTGGAAATGGGAAACTCAGAATGGAAACTGAGGAGAGGAGTGGGCAGAGTGGTTGAGATTACAAGGGGGAGGGAGCAAATATGCCAAGAATGCAAAGATAAGTAAGGACCACAGGCTCTCCGGGGTGATGTGATACAAAGAAGTTGTTCCCAACCCCCACACAGAGGCCTTGCTGGTGCAAGTCAGAGATCAGCGTGTTCATCTTTTCTACTAAAGGGCAGTCAAAGTGCAGCCACCACCCAGGGAAAAGCATCAGCCAGGCAACGCTGGGAACTTGGGAGAGAGCCAGGCAGCCTAGGCTTACCTGGCAGGCAGCAGGGCGTTCTCTGGCAATAAGTACTTGTAGGTATTGAACAGTCCTGCATCAGAGATCACGATGGGGCAATAGATGTTCACCAGCTCTTGACCCTTCTTCACACTGACACCTGCAGGCACAAGAACTTGACTGAGGTTCCATGCACTCCAGGAGAGAGAGGAAGGCTCATGTCCCAAACAGGTCTCTGCAAGACTACGCTTCATTTTCTCAGACCTGAGCGTCCAGCCTACCCGGGGCCAGATGGGCATGCCCCAGGCAAAACTGTAAAATAAGCAGAACATACTCAAGCACTCTGTGTCCCCCATTACTCCGTGCTCACCGTCCCTAGCTTTCTCCCCACCCGGCACGGGCTCCCTTTTCTTTAGCTAAACCCAGCACCCTTCACTCCGACTCCTTGTATCAGCCTCCCACCTCGTGGGCCCTGCTGCATGTCCACCTCACTCCTAGTCGCTCCCTGAACTATTAGGTACAACCTGCTGATAGTCAACATTTTTTACTTATAAAAACAGCAGTTTCCAATGATTAAAAAAAAAAAAAGCAGTTTCTAATGGTTCAACCTAGTTTTTTCAGGTGCTTAACATATTCAGCTCTTTCATACCTCCGTGCCTTTGCACATTCTGTTCCCCTTGCCTGGAATAACCTCCCCCAACCTCTGGCTAGCTTCTTCTGACCCTTTATGGCCTGGCTTGAGCACCTCTGCCTTCACTCCAAGGCCCTCCCTGTGCCCCCATCCTAGCATCCCCATTCACCTGCAGTTTTAGCACATTACTTCTGTACGGCACTTAAACTGGGTCACAGTGATTTTCCCTATGAGACTGGAAACTTCCTGAGTTAGAGATTAGGACTTGTCTTTTTATTTTCATCTTTTATCACCTAGCACATGAAAAATACAAATACATATATTCTAAACCAAATTTAATTAAACTGATAGACCCACCTTGCTTCATGGACCCCTTTGGCTGGAAGGAGAACTTATTCGTGAAGATGAGAGAAAATCTCACACTGCCGACAGCCACCTCTTTCTCACCACCGGCAAGAAAGAGGTGGCTCTCTTCTCTCTACCACTCTCTTCTACAAATGTGTTCTCAGAGATCACTAATGGCTTTTCCTCCCTTGATTTTTTTGGTGCACTGGGCCACCGACTCACCACCTCCCCCTTAAAAGGTTCCTCTGCTAAATTCACAGTCATACCAGCCCTATTTTCTTCAGGCCTCTCTCTGTCCCCTTCCCTGATGCTTCTTAAGCACCCACAAGTCATGGATGGCCTGCTCCATTTCCCAGAGTCCTTCATAAAGTTCTCCCACAGTGGGATTTTGACCCTCTGTGCAGATAACAGCGAAGACCCAAGCCAGCACAAGATTCTAGGCCCCACTCTGCCATTTACAGGTTGAGGGCAGGGTATTCTGCTGGCCTCCACACTGCCCTAGGGAGTGCCCAGATTATGTATTCGTTCCATAATCACTCAACAACACTGCATTTACTGAGTGACTATTATGTGCTAAAATCTATAGACAAAGATTAAAAGGACACAGTCCCTACACACAATGAGACCATAGATTACTGGATAACTATTCTTATCTACTGAATACGTAATTAAGTACTGTTCTCTGCAAACCATGAAATCCTTTACCCTCCCAGCGTCCTCTGTCCCTTCAGACTAACTGCTTTCGCGGAGCCCTGCTCTGGGACAGGTTCCAGCCTTTAACCCCTGTGAGGAAGTCAGTTCTGCTACACCTTCTGCCTTCAGTGCTTCTTTTTCCCTGCAGCCCAGGTCTCTCCCACCCAGCCCAGGGCCCAGGAAGCGCAATGCAGGACTCTCACCACAGGCTTTCCCGGCTGAGTCCAGCAACACACTCTGCACAGAGGCCCTCGTCAGGACAGCGCCACCGGCCCGCTGAATCACAGGGATGGTGTGAAAGGCGATTTCACTAGAACCCCCTCGAGGGTAAAAGGCCCCTTTAATGTAGTGGTCAACCAGCAGAGCATGCATGGCAAAGGTGGTGTGGCTGGGGGTCACACCTACGGAAGGAAAGAGGGAAGTGATGAGGCAAATGTGGGCAGCAGCACCACTCAGAAAGGGGCGTGATTCCTGTCAGAAAACATGCCCTGGCTGGTATGACTCAGTGGATTGAGCACAGGCCTACAAACCAGAGGGTCACCAGTTCAGTTCCCAGTCGGGGCATGTGCCTGGGTTGCGGGCATGTCCCTGGTAGGGGTGCACGAGAGGCGGCCACACATTGGGGTTTCTCTGCCTCTCTTTCTCCCTCCCTTCCCCTTTCTCTAAAGGTGAATAAATAAAATCTTAAAGAAAAAAGAAAACACACAGCATGAGTCCCGGGGTTCAAATGATCCCCATGGATTGGGGCAGCTGGAGGGCCAGTTTCCATGCAAATATGGGGTACCTTACAGATCTTGGGGCCAGTGGGACTGGCCCCACAGTGGGACTGTCTTCCCTGCAAACTGCCATGTTGCCGAGACCAAGGAGGCCAGTGCTGGTTGAAAAGGAAAATCATCCAGTGTGTGGATGCAGGAATTTTTACCAGGGAGTGAAGCAGGTAGGGGGGAAGACTCCTCACCCCTAAGGGTTTATACCACATTTCAGTTAGCCATGCACATTCAGGACGCAAGACTAAGAGCCAGAAGGGCACACCTCCTCCTCCAGGAGCTGCCCAAGGCCCAAGGCCAGCACCTACCATATGTGGGGAAGATGTAGCTGAGCACTGCCTGGAGCTCCTGGGAGGCGGGCAGCTGCCGCAGGACCTCAGCCAGGCTCTGGGTGGATGCGCGAAGGAATGGAGAGAAACGGGTGAGCAGCCCACACTTGTTGAGGAACTGAGCCACAGGCAATGGGAGGATCTTCACCAAGACAGCATGAACGGCTCCTCTGGCTACCAGCTGAGGAAGAAAATGAGGAGGGAGGCACAGGTCTCATTTCTAGAACTGCCAGGACAGAACCACCATTCCAATCGCCTGCACCAGCAGAGGGCCTGGCAACACTCACCCCTGCCTGAACTCGGGCTCAATTTGGATTTTTAAGAATCTGTACTCTGAATTCTTCCAATTCTACACTCAGATGAGCCTTTTGCTTTTCAGTTTCCTGCCCAAATTCTATTTGAACAACCCCAATCTGGTCTCAGATGAAGTAAAAAAGGGTAATAATCGGACCATATGAAAGCCATCCTGGTCAGGGAAGAGAGCATGGTACTCCGCAGAGGCCAGAGTGACAGCGGCAGCTGCCAAGCCCAGGCTCCAGGGGCGCAGAGGCCGGCCCAGGTGGGGACCGAGAGCAGGACAGGCAGGACTGTTCCTCCCCTCCTGCCTCGCCCACCAGCCACTCCACCAAGGAAGAAGGTCAGCCTTGTCAGGAATAAACAAGGGGATCCTTCACATGTCCATGTTACCTTAACCAGCTTTATATACTTGTCAATGGCAGCTTCTTCCTGGGGAAACTTCTCCTTGAGACCCTGAACGTAGGCTTTCTCCCCACTGTACATGGGGAAATCCTTTCGGCCACTGGGCCCGTCTAGTACCATGATGTCAAAGGGAGAGGACAAGGCAACCCAGTCCAACTGCCCCTCAGTGATCTGGTCCAAAATAAAACGGCCAAAGCTGCCTTCCTCCATCCTCCCGATGTAATGGATTCCTGTGTTGGGGGGGACAGACAAACAAGGTATCTTAGGATGAGGGGACTGAGCCCTGCAGAGGTGGACAGAGAAGCAAGGTGAGAGACGTAGTGGTGTCTGGCTGAATCCACGCCCAGAGGAGGTGTCCGCCCTTGCTGTGGGGAGGAGTTAGGGCATAAACCACCGGTTCCCTGCCCATTTCAGCTCCCAGTGGGCATGCTACCAGACAAGGAAAGAGGTGCCCAGAGAGAATACAGGGCCTCCAGAACAACAGAAATGCCCTGCACCATCCCACAACAGCTGCTCCAAGCCTCCTAAAGACAGAGCTGTGCTCCCAACCCTTTTCCACATAAACCTTACCTGTGTCAAATTCAAGGCCATCCTTTCCAAAGGTGTGACAACAGCCTCCTGCCTTGGTATGTTGTTCCAGCACCAGAACTCGCTTGCCAGCTTTGGCCAGAATTGCAGCTGCAGCCAGACCCCCAAAGCCACTGCCAATGACCACCACATCCAGCTTCTCTGGCACGTGGCTGACTGAGAAAGCTGCAACAGAGAGGACAGATGGAGGGCAGGCTCTTCAGGCAGGGGCAGTGGAAGAGCAAAGATATGGAAACTAAAGAAGACTTCTCTAGCTTATACAATGCTAGAAAAGTCTAGAGCAGTTCTGCACAGAGCTTCTTATGAAAACATCACAAATGTTTTACCTGGGAAATGCTCAGGACCAGCCAGGCAGATTAAACAAAGTGATTTGGTTTGAACTGAACAGATTTAACCGAAGTTGCTATGTACACGGGGACTTTTCCTACTTTCAAAGATATCAGTGAACTATTACAGGAATAAAAGCAGAAAGCTATAGGCTGAGAACCCTGAGTGCCGACACGGAGAACGAGGGAAGGAAGAAAACAAGGAGTCGGGGGACAGGAGCACTGTGTGGCGGAGCAAGCTGCTGGCTCACAGGACTGTCCATTCACAATACAGTTATCTTTGGAAAATGTGGGGTCTGAAAGCTCAGTGGGGCAGCCTGATCGTATGTTGATGGTCCTTTAAGATCCAGATGCAGAGGCTCGGGCAGGACCAAGCTGTTCGGAGGCTGCTACTCTGAGAAATCACGGCACCACTCCCTGACACTGGGGAAGTCTGGAGGCAGGGCTGAGGGGCAGCACCTGAACAGGACACCCTGGGCAGCGGGGGTGCCGTATGGGCACTTCCAACACCAGCTCTGTTCTTTAAAGATCACTTCCCAAGATTGAGATTCAGAACTTCTCAAGATGCAAGAGAATGTGGTAAACTTTTAACTTTTCAGATGTTTTTTAGAAAGGCCTATTGTTACAAATACATTTCATTTCAAAACCCAGAGCATGTGGAAGTGTAGAATATAAATACCTGAAACAAAAGGCTCATAATACAATGCTTACCAGAACTATGTATGGTACACTCTGATATTTTCTATTTCACTGCATTTGAAAATGCTAGTTGCAACCCACTAACTTGATTTCAAGTCCCATTAACAGATCACGATTTGGTCTGAAAGAGTTAAACTAGTCATCCAGTTTTTAGACCAGCCCGGGTAAGTGGAATGACTTGCTACTGGTGACGCAGTAAATTAGTGACAGAGTCCAAGCTAAAACTCTGCCCTCAGAAGTTCAGACTAATAGTCCTTCCACTTAGAACAGTGTTGTCCCCAACTGTGAGGCAAAACGTGACACACAAAAGTCTAAAATTGTCCAGTGAGAGGGACCTTCGAGATCAAACAGGGGATCCAATTTAAAAAAACAGCAGAAATCTTTCTTTCAAACTTAGGAGGAACCCCAAAATATATTTTAAACTTGACAGCAAAGGTACTCTGACGGGAGAGTGGTTTCTGAGCCTCTCCCAAAGTTTCAAAACCAGGGTTCAACCATATGAGCTGGGTCCAGGCATAATCCGTCGAATCACTTAGTGGGCAAAATGAAATTTCCTGTACAGGTTGAAAGAGATTTCTATGCAGCTCCCCGACACCCCTGGGTGCATATGGAAAGGTTAGTGAAAAAGTTAAGGTCCTAGAGCTAAATAAGGGAAAGGTTTCGTCTTGTCTCTCACTTCTTGTTAATTTAGCCATGTTACCAAACTCAAGGCGTTCAACACTTGGGGTGCTCTGTTCAAGAATGAGACATGGTACCCTGGCTGGTGTGGCTCAGTGGATTGAGTGGCAGCCGACAAAAGGTCCCTGGTTTGATTCTCAGGCACTAGACAGGGCACATGCCTGGGTTACAGGCCAGGTTCCCAGTAGGAGGCGAGCAAGAGGCAACCACACATTGATGTTTTTCTCCCTCTTTCTCTCTCCCTCCCTTCTCCTTTCTCTAAAAATAAATTAATAAAAATATTTTTTGGGGGGGAGAATGAGGCATAGTTGTCACAAGGTAGTTTAAAGGAGACATATCTTGTGACAAGCACATCTCCTTGAATAGAGCACCCCAAGTGGTGAACCCCTTGAGTTCAGTAACCAATTTGGCAATTCCAGCTGAAACTCTCCTAAAAGGACTCCCTGTGCAGCAGTCAGCAGCAGCAACTCATCCAGGGCTTACTGGCCGGCATCTCCACTGGACAGAGGATCTGTTCTATGGGAGACTCCCAGAACTGCTGTCTGGCCTGCCTCCGCAGTGAGGAGGAGCGGCCACCTAACCCTGTTTCCTGGAGTACTTCAGAAGGGAGGCGGGTAGGTCAGTCCCTGTGGTCACTTTAATCAGTGTTTCTATGCATGTTTTGGGTATAGGGTTGTCGGAAAGGTAGTTTCAGTTCTGGCGTGCACTTGGTTTCTGGTTGGTCGGGCAGGAACTGTCTCTGGAAGGCAGGATTCAGGGCCTAACCTCCGTCTAACACTTGGGGGCTGAGGAATGCCTGCCAGGCAATGTAAGACATCCTTGGATTATGATCTCTGGTGTGGTTGTCTGGCATTCTTTGTGCCTTTGCCTCCTAGGGTTTCAACATTTACGAACCACATAGGCGCCGCTCTCCCTCTGCAACCCCAACCTTGCTTCCTTTAATCCAGGGGGTGCACTTTCTGAAGCACCTGCAGCTAGGGTGGTGCTCATGATGGGAAATGGGAATAGCACCCCAGCAGTTTCCTGAGCAGCAGCGAGGTTCCCATCAGACGGGCCACACCACCTTCACTGAGAAGGCTCAGGGTTCCCAGTGGAGGTGATCTGGGACAAGCAAGACTGATCAGCAAGGGTTTCACTGTGGGACTCCGCTAGGCTACGGCTAACGAGGCAAAGACATATGCTTGGGGTCACATGGGAAGAATTGCTGGTTTTATCTATGAGCTATCTGAATAAGACTCCCATTGGGGATCTTCCTCTGAAGGATAAGGGGGAAAAAATTACATGCCACATCTCTTCAAAGAGTCTCACTGCTACAGAGAGATGTTCTGTAAGCAGATGTGATTTCAGAAATTTTACCAAAGGTATGGTAACAGGCCAAGTACCATCGGAGTATTGAAAAACTACATTTTTTAAAATGTAATTTGAGTCAGCTTTATTGGACTTGCAAAACAAAGCAGGGATGGGCTTCCTAGCCACATGGAAACGACACAGGGAAATGAACTGCTTTTTTAGTAAGATGTAATTTTTTTTTTCTTTTATCGATTCTAGAGAGAGAGGGAAAGGGAGGGAGAAAGACAGGGAGAGAAACGTCAATAGATTTCGTCTTGCATGTGTCCTGACTGGGGACTGAACCCACAACCCAGGTGTGTGCCCTAACAGGGAATCAAACCTGCGACCTTTCAGTTTCCAGGGTGGTGCCCAACCAAGCAACACCAGGCAGGGCATTTTTTTTAAGTAAACTTTTACAGTGGTCTTAAAAATCAATCTACTAATTCCCTGTCCACTCATCTGCAAGGATGAGATCACTGACTCCAGGAAGGTGCACTCATGCATTATCTCATGTCAGAGCCCAATCAAGCAGACTCTCGAGACCTCAGCTTCTTTTCTGAGCAGCTCCTCCTCTCTCCTCCAAAGCTGTGGTGTGGAACAGGTTGAGGTGAGAGAGTTTGCTCTCTGTATCCACTAGATGCTTCTAAGCTGTGTCTCCTTCTTGGGGAGTGGCCCCACTCAGCCAGGGCACCGGCCCCTATGGCTTTGGGAGTCTGCTGACTGGCAATGGGATGAGCTGACCAGGACAGTTGCTCTGCTGTGGAAGCAGCAGGTGGAGCAGCCCAGTGTTTTGTCACAGCCAGATGCAGTCATGGATGTTTAGGAACAGAACACTGCACTGCTCAGGCGTGTGCTGGAAGGGAGACAGGTGCAGGGAGGCCACACCACACTGAACCTCTTTTAGCAGAGTGGGTCTGAATGTGAACCAAACCATTAAACAAGGCATCCTGGGCCTGTCCTCTGCCTTTCACAATTCCACATGCCTGGAACATGCAGGATAAGCCCTGCAAAGGCCTTTTCAGCCCATGTTCTCTAGAAGTCCCGAAGCTAGAGGGTTGAGAGGCACTGCGACCTGTAAATGTAGTAGGAGGTGACTCTGCCAGTGTGAGCCTCTACAACCAAAAGAAGTAGTGAGGTAGGGTTTTGGATAGGAGTCCCCTGAGTCCTTCACTTGCTGAAAATAAAACTTTCGACACAACCAGGTCTCATCCTTGAATAGCAGCGAACCCCTTGAGCTGGGTAATAGCCACCGTCACATTAAATGACAAGGCCTGAGTCTTCTTGTATCTCAGCTACCAACATGCCATCCAGACTGAGGAAGACCCAGAAACTTCAGGGTCACATGAGCCATGACCACTGGCACCATCTGCCACATTGGCAAGTACAGAAAGCACCTGGGAGGCCCAGGTAATGCTGGTAGTTTGCATCATCACAGGATCAACTTCGACAACTTTCATATCACTTTGAACTTTCCCAGGTCACTTTGGGAAAGTTGGTAAGAGGCATGACCACTTAAAGAGGAACCAGAGCTTCTGCCCCACTGTCAAGCTTGATAGACTGTGGACCTTGGTCAGCGAGCAGACATGGGTCAACACTGCCAAAAACAAGACTGGAGCTGCTCCCATCATTGATGTGGTGCCATGGGGCTATACAAAGTTCTGGGGAGGGAAAGCTCCCAAAGGAGCCTGTCGTTGTGAAGGGCAAATTCTTCAGCAGAGGAGCTGAAGAGAAGATTAAGAGTATTGGTGGGGCCTGTGTGCTAGTAGCTTGAAGCCATGCATTGGGAGTTCATTAAATTCTCACAAATGGCACTGGCTGGTGTGGCTCAGTGGACTGAGAGGTGACCTGAGTTTTGGTTCGCCGGTTCGATTCCCAGTCAGGGCACATGCCTGGGTTGTAGAACAGGTCCCCAGTAGGGGGTGCACAAGAGGCAAACACACATTAATGTTTCTCTCCCTCCCTTTCTCCCCCTCTCTCTCTCTCTTCCCCTCAGTCTAAAAATAAATAAATAAAATCCTAAAAATAAAATCCAAAAAAATATTCTCACAAATGAAAAATAAACAAATGAATGAATGGATGAATGACAGGGTCTGGACTTGACTTTGCTTGGCTCTGCGAAGACCCTGGCAAACAGAGGACGGTGCCCATGTCCATAGGTCCACAGTTCTCCAGCTTGCCCAAGCAAAGACGGAACTAAACCCGGGCGCCTCCGCGTGCCTCAAGCCCTCCCAGAGCTTTACATTCTGAGAAACTGAGGCCCGGATCAGGCAGCAGCTTGCCTGGCCAGAAAGAAACTGCAAAGCAGCGGAGCTTCAGACCCCAAAGTTTCTTTCGCTGACCTTGTTTTAGGACCTTCTTCCGGGACTCCTTGTCCGTCACCAGGGGCGCGGGTGGTCGTTTGACGTCCTCGGAGAAAGGATTCGGGGAGCTGCTTGAGAACAGCCCCAGGTAAACTTTGCGGAGGACGGCCAGCAGCAGCACGGCCAGCAGCACCAGTGTAAGCCACATGACGCCTGTCCGAAGACTGGGATCACGCTGATGGCGCCCAGCTTTGTGGCGGTGGTTCCACCCTGTTTGTTAGTCCCGCCCTGCCGGGAGGCGGAGGCAGCTTTTCCCGTTTTGCAATCCCGGAATTTTTGGCCAGATGCCCGAACTCCAGAGCAGGTTGACCCTTCCAACTCTCCGTACTTCCGTGGCAACAACAGCGTCTCCGCGGGCCCGCTGGGCTTCGGCAGTAGGGGCCGCCGGGGAAACCAGTGCGCATGCGCGACAGGAGCCTGGCGAAGGGGCAAGTTCGCGGTGGTAAAGCTCCTTGAACGACTGGGACGTCTCGGGCGAGCCCCGGGGACCTTAAGGAGGGGGAAATGTGGGATGCAAATGATGGCCCTTGGGCAGGGCGAGGCTGAAAGTTGCAGGACTCAGAGAGGAACCCGACGGGAAGGCTGGAGACCTGGGTCCGCACTCGGCTGTGGACTCGCTGAGAGACCCGAGGCAAGTCGCTTTGCTCAGTTTTCCCCACCGGATAGAGAGAACCTGTGCGTCCGGAAGCCCCTCACATCCCTGGCTGGCTGGCTGTGTGGTTGGGTGGAGATCTCTCGAGATCTGCGCGTCGCAGCCGGCGAGCCCCTTTTCTGCTAGCCCCTACAATAGACCAATAGCTTGGGCCGCGGCCCCCGCTTCCCCAGAATGGCGTTGCTTGCGGCGGGGGCCTCCTGGCGTCCCCAGGCCTCTGGCTGGGTCCCCGTGGCACCTGCCTCTGTGGGGCCGTGAGGAGCCGTCCAGCGATCAGCCTGATGAAAGGATCAGAGAACTATCATTCCTATGTGCGCATTTGTATTTAAGGTATGGACCCAGTTTCTAAAGTAAATACCTATTCAGAGAGTTTAAACTCCAGCAAGCAGTTAGAAAATCAGACCCGCAATGAAGTCCCTTACCTAAAGTGGATGCATCATAAGTATTTCATTTAAAATACTTATAGGACCCATCTTTATAGGAAGGTCATTTCCTCAGGTTCAGCTTGCCAAATATTGGTGGGAGTGACTTAGAAACTTCACGTACTTGCTCGGTTGACAGTGTTGGCTCTTTCCGTTCTGTTACAGATAGTAAGTGTCCGGACACTGTTGAAGACACCAGCGGTGCTCCCACCAGAACAGAGACACTAGCAGGTGTGTAAAGCTGCTCATGCTTCTACTCTGCTTGCTTCATTTCATGCACAGTAACAGAAGGGCCTTCCTGAGATTGCTGTCACCTTACCTGCCTGTCACCTTCCCGAGGTTGGCCTATGTATGAGTGTTTTGTCATGTGCGGTCATGGAGGTCAAGGAGGAGGGAGAAAAAGGAAGCAGATGCTGAGGCCCCAGAAGACATAGTGGGAGTGAGCCGGTTCCTGTGGTGCCATGAGTAAGGGGCATTGCACTCCCTTCTAAATTACAGTGAGCCAGATGCCCAGCCCAACAGCAAGAGGTAATCCTGCTCTTGGTTTTAGGAATCAATGTGTCTTACCCCAATGGAGATTCCTGTTTGCTACTGGCATCCAGTTCTTAGGGAATCCAGATCATATTCTCACAGTGGAAAGCTGACATCATACAGATGACATCCTCCTTCCTTAGTCACCCGAGTCTGTGATTGTGTGAGGGCCATCTGCCCATTATGATCTGGCTTTTTGTTGTGATGCATCCATGAGTCCAGCTCCCCTATGATGATAGATGTGCTGTCTTCCTCGGTGCACATGGAATGAGAGACTGAGAGACTGAATTAGCCAAACTGGCTAAGCAGCTGCAACATGCACAATATTGGTGGCAACTGAAGAAGGCTAGGCATTGTGCTGCATTTTGAGTTTCTACCATTGTGGGAACCAGATCTAGTACTATAAGCCCCCAGACCCAAGGCTGAGCACTTCACTAAGACTACCCTTCAAGGTGCCATCCATTAGCCTCACCCCTTTGATAATGGGATCTGGAGTACCAGATCCCATTAACTTCATTGTCAGAAACAGAATTCCACCACTTACAGTGGTGCTGCTGCCTTCTGGATACCAAGAATCCAGCGCCTAGACTCCCACAGGGCCCCCTTCTTTCCATCCAGTGGCGTGGGTGGTAAGAGGGAGGCATTTGGCTAAAGCAGCTTATTTATTCATAATAAATTTATAGCTGCTTAAAGATATTTTTTAACTTTTAGGTTTATAAACTTCTATTTGTTTTTTTTTTTAAGATTTTAGTTATTTATTTTTAGAGAAAGGGGAAGGGAAGGAGAAAGAAAAGGAGAGAAACATGAGTGTGTGGTTGCCTCTCCCATGCTCCCTACTGGGGACCTGGCCTGCAACCCAGGCATGTGCCCTGACTGGGAATTGAACTAGCAGCTCTTTGGTTCTCAGGCCTGCATTCAATCCACTGAACCACACCAGCCAGGGCCATTTTTAAATGTATTTTATTGATTATGCTATTACAGTTGTCCCAGTTTTTCCCCCTTCCCCCCCTCCACCCAGCACCCTTCAGTCCCTTCGGCAATTCAGTCCTTTCTAGCCTGCAAAGTTTATTTTGAGAAATCAGCTGACAGTCTTATGGGCACGCCTGTGTAGGTAACTAACTGCTTTTCTCTTGCTGCTTTTAAGATTCTCTCTTTCTCTTTATTTAACCTTTGGCATTTTAATTATGATGTGCCTTAGAGTGGGCCTTTTTGCATCCATCTGGTTTGGGACTCTCTGTGCTTCCTGGACTTGCATGTCTATTTCCTTCACCAAATTGGGGAAGTTTCTTTCATTATTTTTTCAAATAAGTTTTCCATTTCTTGCTCTTTCTCTTCTCCTTCTGGCACCCCTATGATTGAAATGTTGGTGCATTTGAAGTTGTTCCAGAGACTCCTTACCCTATCCTCGTTTTTTTTGGATTCTTTTTCTTCTTGCTACTCTGATTGAATGTTTTTTTCTTCCTTATGTCCCAGATCGTTGATTTGATTCTTAGCTTTGTCCACCCTACTGTTGATTCCCTGTAAGTTTTTCTTTATTTTGCTTCGTGTGACCTTTATTTCTACCTGGTTCTTTTTTTGCTGTTGAAGTACGCAGTGAGTTCCTTAAGCATCTTAATAACAGTGTTTTGAACTCTGCATCTGATAGATTGTTTATCTCCATTTTGTTTAGCTCTTTTTCTGGAGTTTTGTTCTGTTCTTTCATTTTGGCCTTGTTTCTTTGTGTCCTCCTTTTGGCAGCCTCCCTGTGTTTGTTTCTATGTATCAGGTAGAGCTGCTTTTACCCGCTGTCTCAGCAGCATCAGCTAGTGTAGGAAAGTGCCCGGTAAGTTGGATGGGGCGGAGCCTTAGGTAATCACCAGGGCAGGGCAAGCCGTATGAATCAGGTTGATGGAGTCTCCAGTATGGTGTTGCTGCTCTGTGGCTCTGTGTGGGGGAGGGCTCAGAAAGGGGACAATGGTTGCAGCCTGGCCTCTGGAGTTTTGTCCAGGAGGAAGCTGTCCTCTGGCACTCACCCTAATGCCAGACACTTCAGCTTCTTCCTGTATGGCACTAGTGCCCTTCAAGCTGCTGCCCTAATGCTGGAGCTCAAAGAGAGTGAGTCTAAGTAAGTACTAAATTCATTGCAGGCCCTTTAAGAGGAGATGCCTGGGAATCCTGTAGTTTGTTCTGCCACCACAACCCCCACTGGTTTTAGAGCCAGAAGCTATTGGCACTAGAACCCTGGGCTGGGTGGTCTGGTGTGGGTCTGGGATCCCTCACTCCCAAGATATCCCTCTCAGTGTTTATCTACCATATGCCGGTGTGGGACTATCTCTGCATCTCCATGTCTCCATCCCTCCTACCCTTCTGAATGAACATGACTTCTTTAATTCCTTGGTTGTCAGACTTCCATACGGCTTGATTTTCTGACAATTCTGGGTGATAGTTTTGTAATAAGGTTGTAATTTTTGCTGTGATTGTGTGAGGAAGCCGTGTTTACCTACATTTCCATCTTGACCAGAAGTTGCTTAAAGATTTTTAAAGTCAGTTTTTCTCAACAGAGGCATAACTGAATAATGAAACCAGTTTTGTTTTGTTTTTTTAATTTTTTTCTTTTTTAGAGGGCCAAGCCTTCAAAGACCTCAGGGACTTCTCTCAGTACCCACAGAAATCTCCTACACCCTGGCGATGACACGTAGGGACTTTTTCTCGCTCTATGTCTGAACGACTGCCAAGAAGGAAGGCAAAGGTAGAACGGTTGGATCTCTGGCTCTCCCCGTAGCTTCTAATCTCAGACCCTATTAAACTCCTTTCTGAACCCAAGGACAAAGCTCACTTGAACAAATGATTTTGAGTCATGAATGAAAAATCTTGCTCTTTCCATAATGAGAAAGAATTAAAAAATGGACAGGTAAGCAAGCACTTCTATTTGGGGAAAAAAAAAAGGTGTTGGTTTGGGATATGTCGTCAGTAATAAGAGCAGGTATCAAGAGAACATAAAGCTTTGCTTCGGTAGTGGACGTTTACATTTTTTTAGCCTTTAGCTATTATAAGCAGCGCTACAACTAGTGACACTGTGAGCATCTCATTTTGCATGTGGATGAGTGTGTCTGGTAGATGAATCCTGGAGCGCGACTGCAGCCCCAAAGTGTGCAAAGCACGTATGATTTTGCCAGGTGCTGTCGAGTAATAGAGGTAATAACAGTTCACTCTGCAGGGTTTGGTCTTTGATAATATGCTAACTGAAAAATACTATCTAAGAGTAGTTTTAGTTGACATTTCTCAACCTTACCAGTAAGGTTGAGCATTTCTTTATATTTAAGAACTATTTATATTTCCTTTTGTGTAAACTGCCCATATCTATGTCTGTTTTACTACTGGGTTTTTTGTTTTTTTTTTCTTACTGGTTTGTAGGGCTAATTTTTAACATACTTAGTAAATTAGCCCTGTATTGATGAGATGAGTTGCAAAAAGTTGGTCCGGTGGGTTTTTTTCAGGCTCTAATAGGGGACAGGTTTGGCTGAGCAGAAAGGGCAAAAGTGAGGGGACTGCCTCACTGAACTTCACTTACTGAGAGCCCTGAGACCTTTAGCAGAGCCAAGAAATCTGTATATCTCTATAAGAATCTTTTTAAAGATTTTATTTGTTTATTTTTAGGGAGGGGAAAGGAAGAAGAGAGGGAGAGAAACATCAGTGTGTGGTCGCCTCTTGTGCACCCCCTACTGGGAACCTGGCCCGCAGCCACGGCATGTGTCCCAACTGGGAATTGAACCAGTGATCCCCTTGCTTCACAGGCTGGCATTCACTCCACTGAGCCATACCAGCCAGGGCTATATAAGAATTTTGAGATAACATTAACTCAGCTTTTTGTAGTTTTTGAAACTAGGTTAAACAGCTTTCTTTTATCGTATTCCTTGTAGTTAATGTCTTAGGAGTTCACCAATTTTTGTGTGTGTGGTACTGGGTAAAGGTGTGACATTTAAGCTGTTGTCTGTGGGGACTGGCATGAGCCCAGGAGATTGACTCTGGTTTGTCTTTCAGATTGAAGGTGTGTCTGCTGGGTACTCTCCACCATGTGACAAGGACAACAGCGCTCTTCTGGCATTCCGAGAAATTCCTGTACATATTGCCCACACTGTAGTACCTCCTGCCAGTATTAGTTTTTGTTGCATGCCACTGTGTGGTGCCAGGAACACATGACACAGGATGGCATAGGCCTTGTCCTCTGGGAGCTCACACTCAGAGGAAGGCATGTAGGGCCAAACAGCCAAAACAAGCTCTATCTAATAAGATCATTGCTATAGTGAAGCAGAGTATAAAGTGCAGCGGGAATAGCAGAGGCATACTGCAGTGTCAGCTGAGTTGTGTGCATTTTTGTTTGTTTGTTCATGGAAGGCAAACGCTTATCCCCACATCACCCAACTTCTCATCGTAGTTAGAGTGTTCCAGGGGCCTCTCTTTAAGACTGGCTTTAATCAGCCCATCAGAGTAGACTTAGATGTGTCTGCCCTCCAGCTTCAAAGACATTCAGTACAGTGGGTGGGGTGTGTTCACGTGGAGGGGGGACATCGATTCCACCTTCATACTAAAGATCGCCGCCCCCACAGATCTCACAGTTGAAGAACCACCGCATCCTTCAGGCCCTGACAGCAGAAGCCTGTGGATGGACGCCAGGAGGTAAGGTCCTTTTCGGGCCCCTGGAGCCTGGGTGGGCCCACGTCAGAGCTGCCCCCCCGTGGATCTGCTTTTCATCATTTGAATTTCTCTCACTACTTGTCCTACAGACGTTTGTAGATTCATTATTCAAGGGGAATTTGAATCAACACTGAAGGTCAAAAGATCTGAGTTCTAATCTAGCCCCACTAGCCCTGCTAGTGACTTCCCACTGTGTGCCTTTGGGCGAATCATGAAATCTCTGTGTCCACAGTAGAAATATTAATACCTCTTTTATCCTTCCAAGGATATTATCATAATGAAATGAGACAGTATATGCAAAAAGGCTTTGAAAAAGCATCCTATTTTACGTGCTTCACTTGGTTCTTTCCTACATTACTGTATTTCAGGTTCATTCCACAGAAAGGCATAGTCACTAATTCAGAAGTGCCACTGCTGGAGCCAAATAGCTTTGGCTTAAATACTGGCTCTCTCACCCACCAGCTACATGAGTTGAGCAAGTTACATAACCTTCCTAACCCTCACTTTTATCATCTATAGAAAGGATTGTATCAGAACATGTATGATGGGGATTTTGTAAGGACTAAATGAGGCAAGGTAAAGTGCTTAGCACACAGAATGTAAATCGCAGTGAGACCTTGCAAACAAAATGTAATCTCCAAAATATGAGGCTTATTAAAATATTCCAAGGCAGAAAAATTATTTGGAAGTTGATGAAGTATATTTTAATAGTAGTTTATTTTTACTGTGTGGTGACAAACCTAACATTTATTAGAGATTTTTTTACCTTAAATGCTAAAATATTTTATATTTTAATACAGTTAGCATTATGTGCCAGATATTTTTAATTGTTTTAAACAATTATAACTTATTTGAGATTGCTCTCAGCTAATTTAAAGTAGCAGGCTGACTAAATCAGCCATGCTGGTTACCATGTGAGTAAGTGGGGAGCTTAAATAAAGAGGCAGTTGGAAACAGGAAAAAAGACAGAACCATACCTAAAGTGAGCTGCATTTATTACCCTGGAGATTTGTGTTGCCTGTGGGTTGTGTTAGGAGGATACTTATTCATATAAGTATCATCTTCAGATGGAGGAGGAGTCTGCCTGGTTCCAAAAGGAAAGGAGGGACACTCTTACACGGTTTGGATATTTGGCACCAGATGACTAGGTGCCTATGTTACCAGGCAGTTACTAGGTTGAGACCTGTACTTTCAATTGACTAATCTACTGTGACAGCAAAGTCCCATACCCTTGCTGGCGAGGTTTCTGCTCCTTGTTCACAGTCCATTGAGTTGTTTGCTGGTGAGGGTGTGTGGGGTGAAAGATTGGTCAAGTTGCTTGTCACAAGGACCTGAGGGGTAAAGAGTCAGTGAACCTGGGTGTGGCTCAGGGATGAGGGGTGAGGAGCCCCTTCAGCATCATAACGAGCATTCGCTGCTGCTGTTCCACTCTTCTTGTTTTGTTCAGCCACTTTGTCCCTCATTTTTATCTCCCAAGGGTCCCGCATGCTGGAAATAAGTTTTGTTTGTTTGTTTGTTTTACCATTCATGGTTGAGTGTTCTGTATCCTGTTGAAGTTATCCAGCTTGGAAGCCCTGAGGCTCTGTGTCTGCTGCCCAACCCAGAGTTTGGGGCTGGCGGGACTGAATTTCCCAGAGGTCCAGACATGCAGGACCCTAGACTCATCTCATCTGTCACCACTGTTCACTGCCCTGCTTGGCCCAAGTCCACGACTGTGACCAGACTACCTAATATATATTGAGCACTTATCTTTGGGCCACATACTCCCCTGAGAAGCTGGAGTTACATCATCCTTACACTAGTCCCATGAGTGATGGTAGATGTTTGAGTAACTTGCCCAAAGAAAACAGCTAGTGAGGGGTGGAGAGGAAGACGTGCCCCAGCAGTTAGACTCGAGAGTGTGCTTTTAGTAACCGTCCTCTACTGCTTCCTAGCAACCCTCTCTTCCTCATTATCCACTAGTGTTCTGAGTTTGGGGTAGGATTCTATTTAATTTGCAAATATACTTTCAAAATAGTTTGTCATCATGGGATGTCCTCAGCCAAGCGTTCAAGACAGAAAGGAACAATTCTAAACTGCTTTTATCACTGAGGCTAGAGGGATCACAACTTCGGGGGTTTAACTGGAGCCCTTCATCCTTCCCACTATTTGTTCATGTCCTCCCAGCAAACAGGAAAAGGGACAGGACAGCTACTGGTGGTTTGGGCTTGAGAGTGACACCTGTGCTTTGGAGACAAGGGCTGTATAGTGGCTATAGAGGACCTGTCCTGCTTCTTTTTTTCCTCTGCTTCCCCCCCCACCTTTATTGTGCTGTTATTCGTTTATCAAATGCTTGCCGAGCATGTATGTACTGTGTGTCAGGCTGTGTGCTGGGTTCTGAGAGCCCTGCCCTCATGGAGCACCCAGTGCAGTGAGAAGGATGGTCACAGCACTATGATGAGGCATCCGGGTGAGGGCGCTGCTCAGAACTGGCAGAGGGATGGGCAGGAGCTGCAGTAGAGGGGCTGGAACCTGGGGTGCCGACTCTGCAGAGGGAGAGCAGTCTGTGCCAAGGCCTGATGGTGGGAAGTGTGGAGGAACTAGGTACTTCTGTGTGTCCTAGGGCAGAGATAGAGAGGTATGGAGGGTCCAGAGTGTGAAGGTACTTAAATGCTATGCTTAACAGTTGGCTTTCACCTTGAGAGTTTTGACCAGGTGGGACATCAGATCTGCCTTTTCAGTAGCTCACTCTGGCAGCCATGTGAAGAGGGGGCCTGAGGGCAACAAGACCCAAGGCAGGCGGATGTGGCTGGGGGCTGAGCGTGAGCCAGACTACCTAGATCTCAGAGGGTCTCCTTCTCTCACCATTGCAGTTGTGAGCACGGAGGTGCTCAGAGCCCAAGGAGAATGGGAAGCCGTGGACAACATCCAGCCAGAGACAGGTAACTGTGAGAATAAATAGCAGCTGATTTTATCTCCATGTAATCAGCTGCCGGTAAAGGCGCCGTCTCACATGTGAGGCTCATGTCTCTGTGACTCTGGGATTAGGAGACAGAATTCTTGAGTGACCTTATTTGAGCTTTGTGACAAAGAATAAAACTTCCAAAACCAAAGGCTGCATTCTGGAGGGAATGGGAATGAATGGCTCGGAGAAAGGGCCGAGAGAAGACGGGGAGGACCTTGGTCGGGGTCTGCCTCTGCAGGGCGATGAGACTAGGCAGGAGGACGGAGGCAGGCAACCAGGGCCCCGGTGTGAAGTTGAGCAGGTTGTTCACTGTACAAGGAAGCCCCTGGAGTTGGGGGCTGAAGTCTTCTGGAAGGCTCAAAGGGCTTGGTGAAAATGGTCTCACATCCCTTTCTGAGAGCTATAGGGAAGCAGAACTAGGACCCATGTCTAGCCTGAGTCCCACTTGAGCTCCTGGAGAGATGTTACTGTTAACTGATGAGTTAATTCCCTATGGACTGGAACAAAGGATAGAGAGGGGGTCATTCATATGCAGGGTGCGAGAAGGAGCAGAGTAGAAACTGGGAAAGACCCCTAAGCAAACCTGTGGCATGCTCTTATGTGGGTCCCTACTCCAGTCAGTGACTGGCCACCTCCAAGATGGGTAGAATTTAGGGAGCCCGTGAGGGGCATATCTATCCCTCCTTGCCCCATAGGTTGGCGGTCTGAAAGGGGGGTTGGCCCAGCAGACAACGCCAGCCCCTTGAAAGAGGATTAGTTAGTAGCTTTGGGTGTCTGATGTTCATAGCTGGAAGCCAGGTCTGGGTTTAGAGGTGACCACTGGAAGGCCTCAGTAAATGGCTGCTGACAGAATTTCAACTGTTGTAAATGCTGGGGTGTCTTCCTCTTCATTTTGCCACAGGGAGCCAAACCAGCTCAGACCAGCCTGGACAGCTCATCTCCTTCAGTGAGGCCCTGCAGCATTTCCAGACTGCTGACCTCTCCTCCTTCAAGGTATGACAGTAGCGAGGTTTGGGATCCAAGCAAAGCACCTTCTTCCAGGAGCCAGGTTTTTATCCCATCAGGACAGGGCACAGGGCAAGCAGGATGGAAGCTGCCAGCTGAGGGCCCTGTCTCAACCAAAGTAAAATCTTAAGCACAGGGTCATGGTTGCCAAAGACTCGTGTTTATGCAGGGCTCCAGTGGCCTTTCTGGGGCTGTAGCCCAGAGCTCATGTGACCCTGTCATGCAGAGGTCCCTGTAGCTGCTCCCTGCTCTTCCTTCCATCATGGGGTGGGGAGGTCTGGAGTCAAATGCTAGGTAGTTCCTTGGGGAAGCAGGGTAGACTGTCCAGAGAAATGAGCTATTTGTGGCTAATGTAAGAAAATCTTCCATTCCCTCAAGGTATCAGAAGCTATCTGGGAATTTAAAAAATTATGTAAGATTGAGAAAAGAAAGACTATTGAGACTAACAGCTGGTGAGCTTTCTGAGGCATCTTGAGTGACCAGGAGTAAGTTTAGAGGAATGGGATTTCTGATCTTCTACCTGGAACCTGGCCCAAGAGAGAGGCTAAGAAGACAGGAGTCAGGTTGCCAGAAGCTGCCCAGATCAGTTTGTTAAAAGACTCGTGACAGTGGCTCCTGAGTGATGAGAAGTCAGCGTGGTCTGGTTTGGGAAGGGCTGGTTGTAGTAGTGGCATAGGCTCTAGCTACCCCTCAGAAGTATCTGGCTCCAAAAAGGTCTCCACTAAACTCCCGTCCCCACTGGCTCTCTCATCCTTGAATTTGAGAGTGCTGCTAGATTTTATAAACCGTGTCCTTTGTAGAGAGACAGACACACAGGGCTACATACAAGCAGCCCTGATGGGGAGCCCAGTCTGGTGTTTGTGAGACCATGTCGGGGAGTCCCTACAGCCAGGGCTCTCTAGCCTCTGTGACAGTCACTGGAATTGCTAGTTCTAGAAGAGCCCAAAGGACCAAATGTAGACAACTAACTGATAATGCCTAGGCTTGGGGACCTCTCTCTCTGTTACAAAGAACCTGGGAGCTGGGATAGCCTGTCTCCAGGGATTCCACAGGTGCTTCATGCTTCTGCCCCCTTTCCCTGGCCCAGAAACCAGCCCAGGGGAACTACTTCTTTCTGCAAGAACGGTCTCTGTACTCAGCCTGATGATAAGTTCATCAAAGCAGGTGCAACCAGCACACTGCCCATGACCTGCAACTTTCTCCCCAGAAAAGAATCCAACCAACAATCCGACGGACTGGGCTCGCTGCCCTCCGGCACTGCCTCTTCGGGCCTCCAAAGCTCCACCAGGGCCTCCGTGAAGAAAGGGACTTGGTCCTGACCATTGCTCAGTGTGAGTGCACTGGTGAGGTCAGGCAGACAGCACTGTTGGCCCACCCTGGTATGGAGCCTCCCCCAAGGGTCTTGCATTTTCCATGTTCGCATGAGGAGCAGGAATTGAGGGGTAAACATTGGGAGAACAGAGTGTCTTGAGTACAGTCTGGACCTACCTTGAGAAGCACTCAGCCTTCCCCCTAAGGGCAGTCCAACAGAGAGCATGCGTGTGTCTTGGGGCAGGTGGCCTGGATAGCCAAGACCCAGTGCACGGCCGAGTCCTCCAGACCATCTACAGGAAGCTGACAGGCTCCAAGTTTGACTGTGCCCTCCTCGGAGATCACTGGGAAGATCTGGGCTTTCAGGGTAAGAGAGAGGAATGGTTCTCCTTCTGTTCCTAGACCTCTGATTCTAGGACCAGAGTGATCTCTTCCTGTCATGCCAGCACCATGAGACAGGGTATCTGAGGGAAGGGGGGCATCCAGGGAGAGGGTGGAACGGATGCAAAGGCCTTGACATGAAGCATGCTGAACTCCGATAAACTGTGCGGCCGAGGTAGAGAGAGTGACAGGAGAGGCGGCCAGCTGTGGCCTTGCAGACCATTGTAAAACACATTTCCAAGTGAGCTGGGAACCGTTGGAGTGATGTGATGTAGAATCTCATTTTTTCTTTTAAATTTTCCATGAATATGGATGAAAATTTTATTTTATTTTTGAGTGAAACAAAATGATTTCTCCTGGTTTTGGATTGTGCTACTCTTCAAAATCATCAAATCATGCTTGTGTAGAATAGGAAAATATCTTAATTTTTTTTTGTTTCAAGTGTACAATTTTATTACACATTATTGGTCTACATTATTGTGTTTTCATTATCCAAAGTCAAGTCTTTTTTTAATTTTTTATTTTTAAATATATTTTATTGATTATATTGATTATGCTATTACAGTTGTCCCATTTTTCCCCCTTCACTCCCCTCTACCCTGTACACCCCCTCCCACCCATATCCCCCCCTTTAGTCATGTCCATGTGTCATACTTACAAGTTCTTTAGCTTCTACATTTCCCATACTATTCTTAACCTCCCCCTGTCTATTTTCTACCTACCATTTATGCTACTTATTCTCTGTACCTTTTCCCCCTCTCCTCCTCCTCCCACTCCCCTGTTGCTAACCCTCCATGTGATCTCCATTTCTGTGGTTCTGTTCCTGTTCTAGTTGTTTGCTTAGTTTGTTTTTGTTTTTGTTTTAGGTGTGGTTGTTAATAATTGTGAGTTTGCTGTCATTTTAGTACACGTTTTTTCTGTATCTTCTTTTCTTAGATAAGTCCCTTTAACATTTCATAAAATAAGGACTTGGTGATGATGAACTCCTTTAACTTGACCTTGTCTGGGAAGCACTTTATCTGCCCTATTATTCTAAATGAAAGCTTTGCTGGATAGAGTAATCTGGGATATAGGTCCTTGTCTTTCATGACTTGGAATACTTCTTTCCAGCCCCTTCTTGCCTGTAAGGTCTCTTTTGAGAAATCAGCTGACAGTCTGATGGGAACTCCTTTGTAGGTGACTGTCCCCTTATCTCTTGCTGCTTCTAGGATTCCCTCCTTCATTTTTACCTTGGCTAATGTAATTATGATGTGCCTTGGTGTGTTTCTTCTTGGGTCCAACTTCTTTGGGGCTCTCTGAGCTTCCTGGATTTCCTTCAAGTCTATTTCCTTTGCCAGAATGGGGAAGTTCTCCTTTATTATTTGTTCAAATACGTGTTCAATCTGTTGATTTTCCTCTTCCCCTTCTGGTACCCCTATAATTTGGATGTTGGAACGTTTAAAGATGTCCTGTAGGTTCCTAAGCTTCTCCTCGTTTTTTTGAATTCTTATTTCTCCATTCTTTCCTGTTTGGTTGTTTTTTTCTTCCTTCTGGTCCACTCTATTGTTTTGAGTCCCAGTTTCCTTCCCATCACTATTGGTTCTCCATGCATCTTCCTTCATCTCTTTCATGGTAACCTGCATTTTCTCATGTAATTTGCGCCCAAAATCAACCAATTTTGTGAGCTTCCTGATCACCAGTGTTTTGAACTGTGCATCTGATAGATTGGCTATCTCTTAGTCACTCAAAAGGATGAGCCCTGGGGCATTGATCTGTTCTTCTGTTTGAGACATGTCTCTCTCTCTCTCTCTCTCTCTCTCTCTCTCTCTCTCTCTCTTTCTTTTTTTTTGGGGGGGGGGTCTGGTCGCTCCTGTTACGGTGAGGGGTGGAGCCTTAGGTGTTCACCGGGGCTGGGCACCCCAGTTGCTAGATTGTGATGTTGTATGTGGGGGCGGGGGAGTGGGTGGGAGGGAACAATGGCGGTAGCTTCATTCTCCTGGGACCTCAGTCCCTTCTCTGGGATCCTGGGTTGCACGCTCTGCCCTGGTCCACAATCGCCCCCTCACTGGGTCCGCCAGCTGCCGCTTGTGTACTCAGGGTCCACCCGCTGCGATCCTGCGCGCCCCAGATGCCTTACTCGCTTCCAGTTACCTTATGCGCCCAGTTTTCCCTGTTCTCTGCGCGTCGCGCCCCGCGCCTGGGTGCTTGTCTCTGCTGCTCCTACTGGTCTGGATGTACGAGTCTACTTCAACTTCTTGGCTGTCCGACTTCCATTCAGATAAATTGTCAGTTCTGGGTGTTATTCTGCCTCTAAATTGTTGTTGTTCTAATCTTGGTTGTGCGTGGAGGTACGGTGCGTCCACCTATGCCTCCATCTTGCCGGAAGTGGAAAATATCTTAATTTAAAAAGGAAACTCGATACACCCATAATTAATGGGCAGTCTGCTGGTATTGACGACATGTTTAAGCCCTTTGTTTCCCCTCATCTATAATTATCTTGAATATTTCCTCTGTTTACATTGAAAATCCACGAGCGTTTGGTTTTTGTCTCAGCCATTAAACAATTTAAAAATCCCAAGAGAAGCAGAATCTATTGTATTTACCCATATATTTATTCTTTTCATTGTTCTTTCTTCCCATCTGATATTCCTAGATTCCTTGTTTTATCATTTCCTTTCTGTTTCAGAAATATCCTTTAGCCATTTCCTTATGTAGGTCTACTGGCAATAAATTCTCTTACTTTTCCTTCATCTGAGAATGACTCATTGCCCCGTTATTCCTAAAGGGTCATTTCTCTGGGCATAGAATTCCAGGTTGGCAGTTCTCGTTCAGCACTTGAAAAATGTGCTGCTTCCTTCTGGTCCTGATTATTTCTGGTGAGAAAGCTGCTGTAATTTGAATGGTTTCTCCCTGCTGGTTAAGGAGTTGTTTTTCTCCCTTTCTGTTGTCAAGATATTTTTTCTTTTCTTCCTTTTTTAAAAAGAAAACCTTTTTTTTTTTCTTTCTTTTGGGGGGGGGGGTCTTTGGTTTGCAGCAGTTTGGTTAGGATGAGTCTTGGTGTGGATTTCTTTGGGCTTACTCCATTTGGGGTTTGCTCAGCTTCTTGAATCTGTAGGTTTATGTCTTTTGCCAGATTTGGTAAATGTTCATCCGTGACTACTTGGAGGACTCTTTTCAGCCCCACCCCCATGTGGGCTCCGATGACACAAAAGCTGTCTCTTTGTTTCTGTTGCACATGTCCCATGAGGCTCTGTTGTTGTTGTTGTTGTTATTTTCATCTCTGTTATAGCCCATTGATCTCCGAGGTACTATTCATTTTGTTTTGTTTTTTCCCTTTTTTCAGCATGGGTAATTTATATTGTTCTATCTTCAAGGTTGCTGATTCTTTCCTGTTGTATCTCTTCTGCTGCTGAGCCCATCCATCGAGTTCTTAATTTTAGTTATTATTTTTAGTTCTGAAGTTTCTGTCTGGTTCTTTACATCTGATATTTCTTTACTGAGACTTTATTTTTTCATTTGTTTTCTAAGTGTGTTAGTAATTATTTATCAAAGGCACTTTTATGATAACTGCAGTGGTCATTTTCTATTGTTGCTGCAACAAAGTATCCCGAGTTTAGTAGCTATAACAACACAGATTGATCAGTTCTGTAGTTCCAAAGTCTGACCCGGGTCTCACTGGGGTGAGAGCAAGGTGGCAGCAGAGCTGCATTCTTGTGGGGGGGCTTCAGGAGGGACTCCGTTTCCTTGCCTTCTCCCCCTTCTAGAGGCTTCCCGCCTGTCTGCTTCCTTCTTCATCACATCTCTGAGCCTGAATCTGCTCTCAGATCTGTGTTTCCTCTTTCACTTCTTCCCTTGGGCCCACCCACCCAGACAATCCAGGATACTTTCCTTATCTGCTGATGAGCAGCCTGCAGTCTTAATTCCCCCTTGGCCTGCAACATGACCTGTAGGTAGGTTTTGGGACTTAGGACAGGGATGTCTTTGGAGGGGCCATCATTCTTTCTGCCTGCAGCAGTTGCTTTAAACTCCTTACCAGCTAATTCAAACCTCGGGGTTCTTTCAGTGTTGCTATCTACTGATTGTCTTTTCTCGTCCAAATTGAGATTCTCCTAGTTCTTGGTGTAACAAGTGTCCCGGGCATTTTGGGTATTGTGTAATGACACTCTGGGTCTTCTTTAAATCTTCTGTTTTAGCAAGACTCCTCTGATACTGAGCCAGTGGGGAAGGGGCATGTCACCGCACTACTGCCGGGTGGGGGTAGAAACCCAGTTACCCCACTTGGCATCCACTAATACCACTGGCCAGTGGGGGCCAGAGTGCCTCATCACTGTTCCCATGTAGCCTCTGCTGACATCCACGTCACTTCCACTGATACCCCCAGAGGGAGCGGGGGTGCTCCTTAGCCCCAGGAAAGGATAAAAGTCCCACTTTTCTGATTGCCCTGCTAAGGCCATCTAGTTCTAGTTAGGGGAAGTCTAGGCTCTCTCCACTTGGCCTATGACTAAGTTGTTGAAGCTCACAGGAGCAGGAGTTGCATTAAGCATTACTCCCTATCACCCTCAGTGTCCTCGTGGTTTCTGTTATAGGAGCAAATCCAGCCACAGACCTGAGAGGAGTGGGCTTCCTCGCCCTCTTGCATCTGCTGTACCTGGTGATGGACGCAAAGACCTTGCTGATGGCCCAGGAGATTTTCCGCCTGTCTCGTCACCATATCCAGGTGGGGCTTTGGTGGGAAGCCAGCAGGGAGAGCTGGGGAGCTGAGACCTGGGCACAGGGCTCTTCTGAGCTGCCAGGCGGGCCTCCTGGGTAGAGTCTTGGGTCGCTGAGGGCTCTTAGGACAGCTGAGGCAAAGCAGGCGTGGTCTTCCCCTGTCAGTGCAGGGATCGGAGCTCCGCCACTCATTAGCATGTGTGTCAGGGGTCGCCTCAGTTCCAGAGTCTTGGGCTCCTCATCTGCACAGTGGAAAATCCTGGAAACGTCAGCTGGATAGTTGGGAAAATTACACGAGGTAATGTACAAAAGCACTAGGCATAATTGTGATGTTAGTGTTCCTCCTCATACTCCCTGAGGAAATCCCAGAGCCTGAAGGAGGAGAGTCTTTGTGTGCCCCAGAGTTTGCCTCTGAGGGTCAGGTGACGTGTGGATGTACTGACAGGCCAGGAGCGGCGCCTGTAGGCCCAGGTGTCTGTCCAGGCCTGCTCTCTGGGGTTGGGTTTGATGTTTTCCGCAGTTAGTAAAAAGTGGTACTCCCTCCATTTAAAAAAAAATAAATAAATAAAAAACAGATTTGACCTGTTCTTGAAGCCATTCATCTATCCCAGATTCATGGGACCTGGAATTAATTCACTAAACAAATATTAATTCAGCATCTCCTTGCTAGTTGTTGCTCTTCATGCTTTGAGATACATCTGTGAGCAAAACTAAGATGCTTCTAGCAGAGGAGACAAGACAGTAAGCATAATACGTACAGAAATTATGGGGTGTGTTAGATGGTGATAAGTGCTAAGGAGAAAAGCACAAGTGGGGTAAGGCTTGGAGAATGTGGGGAGGGGGTTATAGTATTTCATGGTGTAGTCACGGTAGCTTTCATGAGAGGGCAAGAGTTACAACAGGCCGTGAAGAGGGGAGGATGTTAGCCAAGCTGGTTTCTGGGGGGAGAGCATTCATTCCACGCGGAGGGAGCAGCTGCTGCACAGTCCCACAGAGGGAGTGTGTCCCGCATGGGAAGGAGCTGCAGGAAAGCCAGCTGGAGTGGAAGGAGGATGAGAGGGCAGGAGAAAAGGAGGTCCCCAGGTGATAGGGACCAGAGGGCATAGTGCCTGGCAGGTATGATAGGGACTTTGGATTTTCTCTGAGCAGAATAAGGGTTTTCAACAGCCTGAAGTACATGATTCAGCTTGAAATTTTTTAATGGATCCCGCCAGCTGCCAGCTTGAGGATAGTCTAGGGCAGTGATTCTCAACCAGCGTGCCACAAGAGGCACACGGGTGTGCTGCAGGACTTTCTAAAACACGCAGCACCTGACTGTTTAGTCAGGGGCACTGGCATCTTTTCCCCGTCAAGTAAGAAAATGATACCAGTCAACACAACAATAGCCATCTAGTGTGAATGAATCAAACTATACCTATTTTTTTGTCAGCTCAAACAAAAAATGTATTTTTTGGAGTGCCACAGATTTTCAGTAATTAGTTTATGTGTGCCATGAGATGAAAAGGGCTGAAACCCACTACTCTAGGGCGTTACAACCAAGCCAGAAATGACGGCGGTTCTCAGAAGAGGTGGTGTGAGACGGTCCAACGCTGGCTATAGGATCTCGAGCGTATGGGCTTAAGAGAGTAGATCCAGCATAAGTTTCTGATGGACTGGATGTGGGTGTAAGAAAAAGAGAGGAGCGATGATTTTTAATCTGAGCACCTGGAAAGATAGAGCGGCCGCCAGCTGTAAAGGAAAGGTAAGAGCAAGTGGGAGGGTTCAGTTTGCCATACCAACGTTAGGTTGAGGTTGAGCACTTTTCTTAAGGACGCTGCAGATGTCACGTGCCCTTCTCTGTGCCTCGTGCCAGGAGCACGTAATGCCAGCAGGTCTCACTGCTGGCGAGGCCAGCCTGGACCGTGCGGGTAAGGAGATAGCTGCTGGGTCTGCACTGTGAAGTCCCTGGTTCTCCCTCCGTGATTAATAACTGCGTTGAGGAAAATAATTTGCAACTGTGCAGATATCCTGTTTGTCCTCAAACTTTGTTCTAATGCCAATTTTCTGTTTCCCTCGTCCTCTTACATTTATTAATTCTATAAGAATTAATAAAATTTGTAAGAAGAATTGTCTGTGCTCTTCTATTATTCAGTTACTTTTTATATCAGCGTGGACTCACAGATTATTTTTAACCCTCTGTGTTATAACCCAACATTATCATTTCTTTCGTTGCTCACATTGTTCCGTCTTTGGCCATTTGAGTGTTCCTGCAGGGTGGCCCTTTCACCACACCCTATCCCGAGAACTTTTACTCTCTGGACACCAAAAGGTGATCTAAGTTTACCTTGTATTTTCTCTGAATAATTCCCAGCCCTGGAATCAACCACTTCTCCAAGGAGCCCTTGTTCCTTAAATTAGAGAATGATATTTAGAAACCAAGATCTGAGCGCCAGGCATTCTCACTGCTATTAAGATCTCACTCCTTCTAGGCCCTCTCAGCGGACCGAGCTAGTTACATGTGTGTGTTGCTGGCTCACTCCCGACTCTGGTAGGAGAGATCTTCAGGAGCCCTTCATAGAAACAGGCAGGCCGTGTGCCTCTATGCTGCCTCAGGGAGAGGAGCCTGAGAATTAGTGGCTGAAGGTCCGACCTGCAGCATTTCAATCAGATCATTTTATCTTATAAGGCTAGAGTTGGGCAGGCCTGAGGTGCAAAAAGTGTTGTTGACCATATTAATCCTTAAGTCCCAGGACCTCAGTTTTTTTCCTTTGTAACATGCGAACGTAACTACAGCCCTGTAAAATTATTCTAAACTGAAGATAAACTATGTATGCCCTGTCTGATAAGGCTCAGTGGATTAAGCGCTGGCCTGCAAACCAAAGCGTTGTCAGTTCGATTCCCAGTCAGGGCACATGCCTGGGTTATAGGCCAGGTTCCCAGTAGGGGGCTTGTGAGAGGCAATCACACAGTGATGTTTCTCTCCCTTTCAATCTCCCTCCCTTTCCCTCTGTCTAAAATAAATAAATAAAATCTTTAAAAAAAAGATAAGCTATGTGAAGTGTCAAGCACATTAGTTATTTAGTGAGTGTTACTTATCAAACTAATTTGATTTCAAAAAGTAAAAATACATTTTTACATCTTATCTATAATACATACATAAATATATCTTATGTGTTTTAAATCCATGAAATACATGCGTGTGCACACACACACAACCTTCATAAAGTAGGACCTTCAAATCCAAAACTTCTTAACTATAAAACAAATAATTAGACGGTTCCTGCCATGTAGGCATTTTTTAATGTATAATGTTTACTATATATATCTGTGTTTTGGGGGAAAAACACTCATTAAATCTTAAGACTTCACTTGTGCCTGTGTACAGCAAGAAGCACTGGAGGAGGCAGGAGTGGGACTTCATGAGTCCCAGGTCTTGAGACACAGCAGGACCCCACAAGCGAGAATGTGGGCGTATTCTGTGGTTGTCGTGATTCAGGGGGCTGACATCCCGGTTGGGTCTGAGAACTGTACCAGTTAGCTTATGAAACAGTGTGGTCTCTCACATTGACTCTGCTTCGTTACAGCAGACTTCTGGTGTTGAAGAGTATCTTAGCCATCACTGGTCCAGCCCTCATTTTAGAGATAGGGAAATAGAGACCTAGAGAGGGGAGATGGCTTGTCCACGGTCCCACAGCTGATGATTTCCAATAAATCATCTCAGATCTCAGTTTCTCCCTTCTTGTGACTTATGAAGACTCTCGGAAGACCTTCCTGCAGAAATATAGAAGCCAGAGCAGAGGGTTATGGCCAATTCAGAGTCCTTCGTTTGTTTTCAAGGATAGGCCTGAATGAGGTGAGGGTACCAAGCATGTCAACACGGGATGGAGGAGCATCCCAGACAGGGAACAGCAAGGTGAGAGGAAGCACTGGGCACTTGATCTTCGTGGACCCAGGCTGACCACTCTGACCAGTCTGTTCATCCCTTCGCTTGCTGGCCTTTGTGGAATTTGCTGGGGGTTTTGTTTATTCTGCAGTACTCTCGTATGCATGTCAGAAAACATGGAAAAACAGTAGCTCATTAAATAAAAGGGCTGGTATAGGTATCATTTGGCTGTGGTTTGAGGCAAGTCTTTGAACCTCTCTATGCCTGTTTGCTGTTTTATGAACTAAGGGGTTTGGCCTAAAAAATTCTAAGATCCTGTTCAGCTTTTTATATACATAATTCCTTGAACTATTAGTAATTCCAAAGTTTTAAAATAAAACTTGATCTCAAGAGGCTATGGATCTTACCCCTGCTTAAGAGACAGAAACAGATGGGTTCTGGTACAGAGTATCAGAGGAATTGTTAAAACTTTTCCTTATGGAAATCAATCTCTCTCTCTCTGTCTCTTTAAAGATTTTATTGATTTATTTTTAGAGGAGAAGGGAGGGAGAGAGGGAGAGAAACATCATTGTGTGGTTGCCTCTTGTGCACCCCCCTACTGGGGGCCTAGCCTGCAACCCAGGCAGCATGTGCCCTAGACTGGGAATCAAACCGGCAACCCTTTGGTTCCCAGGCCTGCGCTCAATCCACTGAGCCACACCAGCCAGGGCATGTTTATGGGCATATCTTTAATTACAAATAAAAATTTTATTCAAGTTTTCTACTTCTTGAGTCACTTATGGTAATTTTTTCTAAAGGAATGTGCCCATTTTACTTAAATTGTCAAATATATTAGCATAAAGTTGTTCACAATATTTTCTTAATATCCTTTCAAGGTCTTCAGGTTCTGCAGTGATATGCCCTTGTTCACTCCCAATGCTGGTGATTTATGTCCACTCTCTCTTTTCCTCAATCAGTCTAGCTTGCAGTTTACCAGTCTTACAGACTTTTATAAAATAAAATGGTTTTTGGTTTAAAAGAAAAAAGATCCTATGAATATTGAAAACACAGGGTTTTCTAGGAGGCAGATATGAAATTGGAATAACAGCTGGGGGATACAGCCCTGCCAACAGCCATTCCTGTTTCTCTCCGATGGGGAGAACTAAAGTTTCAGGTGCCTGTGGTACATCCTGCCAAAGGGGAACTGGCCCCAAACTAGAAACCCTGGGGAGATGGACCCCAGGGCTCCCATGGGCCCCAGCAGTGTGGAAGTGCTCAGCCCACGCTGTCCTGAGAAGGAGTGCTGTAGCAGACATCGAGAGATGCAGCCCATGGGGACGAACTGCGGGCACGCACGTTGTAGTGATATTCACTCACACACAGCAATTTGTATTTGATCGCATCAGCATGACAGACCTACAGAAGGGTAGGGCAGAAATGATCCTTGTGAATCTCCTTTTCACTGTGAAGCAGTGTGAGGATCAGAGAGGTCAAATACTTCTGCCCAAAGCTGGGTGGCTCATAAGTGGTGAAGCTGGGCCTGCCACCCACATCTCCTGACAGACAGTGGGCGGGCCCCTGACAGCAGCGGTTCCCCGCCAGCAACACAAGTTAGAGACACCTGAGGGTGCAGACGCCCAGCACCCTCCCCAGAAGTACTGAATTGGAATCTCCAGCAATGGGGCCACATCAGCAGCCACCAAGGACGATCTGGTCTTCCTCTTCAGTATTCAAAGGTGTTTAAGCCCAAACATGAGGCATGAAGAGAAGTGAAATTCTATTTTTTTTTAAAGATTTTATTTATTTACTTTTAGAGAGAAAGAGAGGGAAAGAAACATCAAGGTGTGAGAGATATATCCATCAGTTGCCTCTCACACACCCGCAACTGGAGACAGGGCTAGAAAAGTCAAATTTTAAATGGAAATTCCAGTGTCCAGGTCTGGTTTCTTCTGCTCTTAGTCAGTCCCCACACCCAGCCTCAGTGTAGTATTTTAGAGTGAAGGGACACTTTTCAGATCCAAGGGAACTGCCAAGGGAAAGGAGACACTTACATCTGAATTCCAGATTTTCACTGCTTTTTAATAAGTGGGCTTCAAAAGAATGTTCTTGAAAGTGAATGAATGCTAGGTTTAAATCTTCTGTTAATTATGTTGCTACCATATTCTTGTTCCCTTATTTATTTTTAGACTGAAAAAAATCAAGGGAAGGGGTGATATTATGCAAGTATATATGGTAATTAAACAGGCAATACATGAAGGTATAAATGACCTCAGCCACACACACTGAGGCAACGCTAATAATTATGAACGTTTGTGAGCACCTACTCTGGCTGATGCTGTGCATGTGTGATCTAAATTGCTCCTTAGAGCACCTCTGTGAGGCAGGTTGTGGGATAACAGAACATGTAAACCATAGGTAATTAAAGCTATCTCAGAATTTTTGTATTGATTAGTGTCTTGACGGTACCCAGCATGGCCCTTGTATCGGGGTGTCAGGGTCCTCAGGAACCCTCAGGTTCTCCGACTCACTGGGAGGACTCGCAGCTATGACTTAGCATAGCCTAAGCAAAATCAGCAAAGGGAAGAAGTGCATGGGACAACATCTGAAGGAAACCAGGTGCAAGCTTCCAAGAGCCCCTCCCAGTGGAGTCACACCGGACACACTTAACTCCTCTGGTGTTGCACTGTGCAACAAATGAAGTGCTGCCAGCCAGGGAGCTCACTGGAAATTCAGTGCCTGAGGGTTTTGAGGTGGCTGGTCACGCAAGCCCCATCTAATTAGCCCATAACAGAATTCCAGAAGGGGAAGCAGATGTTTAACACAAACCATATTATTTGCACAAAGAATTTAGGCACAGCAAGTCATGCTGAGGGAACGGTGGGAGTATCTCAAAACCCAAGCTCCCAGGTGCTAGCCAAGGGCTAACCTTTAGGCAGGCCTTTCTGAGGACAGCAGTCTCGGGCCTGCTGCGTTAACTCAGCGTTTATTTGCTTCTTGATTTTGAGAGATAGGAAAGCTGGGTCTCATAGAGTGTGGGTGGCCTTCCCAAGGACACACAACTAGCAGGTGGCAAGGCCAAGCTCTGGGATCCAGGTGTCAGAGGAGACCCTGAGGAAAATCTTCAGACCCTGAGGAGCCGAAGATCCTCTACAGCTCGGTCAGCGCTGTCTGACTGGACCCTCGGCCATAACGGACATACTCTAGGTCTGCAGTGTCCGATCCAGCAGCTAAGCAGCTGTAACTATTGAGTACTCAAAATATTGCTAGGATGACTAAAGAGTGGCATTTAAATTTTGTATAACTTACAGTTAACTGAAATTTAAATGTCCATATGGGACAGCACAGCACATCATAATGTAATGAGTTTTCTTCTCAGGGGAAGTAGATGGGATAAACAGACTTTGTCTCTGGCTCTAAACTAAGGAATGCACTGATCTGTGAGCCCCTCTCAGTGGATGTCCTTGTCTGTGTGCAACAGTGCAAACTAACAAGTAATATGCAAAAAGTTTTCATCTGCTTGGTTTTTTGTTATTAAATAGGAAGGAATTTACTTCTCCAAAAATAAAGCACTGCAGTGGACCCCCCACAGGGGATCCTGAGGCCCAACCTGGTGAAGTGCCCCGGCTGTACTCCATGCTGCCCCCTCTGGGGAGTTTGGGCTTCACAGCCAGTCCTGAGGCCTCGGTTAAGAGAGAGGGGATGTGCCAGCAAGTCAAGGCTGACTTTCTACCTGTTTGCATCTTTTCTGATTTTGGATGAAATGCTTATGCGCAGTCAAATAACTCGAAGCCTAGAGAAGGGAAGAAGTGATAGTTAGTTACCTGGGCCTCACTCCTCTTGTGTTCATCCTGGCCCCAGGGGGTAACACGGTCCTTGGGTGGCACATGGATAGGTCTGGTGAAGGCTTACAAGAGCTAATGGATCGGGATGTTGAAGAGGCGGGAGAACTCTCCCAGGAGTTATGCAAACCAGCTCCGGAGTGAATTAACCTCAGTTGGAATCCTGGTTCCACTGCCTTAGGGAAGAGATATTCAGGGTCACTGAACCTCAGTCTCCTCATCTGTAAGATGGGACGGTCATGGTGAACATTAGGTGTAAGCACCAATAGTATCGCAGCTGCCTCTGGGTCATGACTTTTGTCACGGCCCTCAGGCCAGACTGGGTTGTGGAAGATGAGAACACGGAAGGCAAGACCTGGGCTCCCACTGACCTGGTACCACTTCCATTGCAGCAATTCCCCTTCTGCCTGATGTCCGTGAACATCACCCGCATTGCGATCCAGGCCTTAAGGGAAGAGTGTCTCTCCAGGTGAGTCCCCACACTGCTCAGCCCCCAGCCCAGCTCATTAGTGACCCAGCAGGGCCAGGTTCCCTCCCTCCCTGCCTCATTCTCCCCAGCTTTCTTCCTCACCTGCTGGCTTCTGGGGGCACTAGGCAAAGTCCCCGTGCACCCGTGCCCGTCCCTCAGCCCATCCCTCCTCCCCAAGCCTGCCTCAGATGTGAAGGCCATCTGGGGAACAGCTCCCCTGGGAGAATAGTGGGGGAGGGCGCCCAGGTGTCAGCTTTTGTACCCTGCTGAGTGGATGACCTCCCTTGTCCTGCAGGGAGTGTAATCGGCAGCAGAAGGTGATCCCAGTGGTGAACAGCTTCTATGCCGCCACCTTCCTCCACCTCGCTCAGGTCTGGAAGACGCAGCAGAAGACCATCTTGGACTCAGGCTTTGTCCTCAAAGGTATGCTCTTTCTTCTGGGGAGACCTCACTCCTGAACTGCTAGTGTCCCCAGGCTCAGGGGCCCCAGGGTGGGGGCGAGACCAGTTTTGGCTGCAGTCCCCTTCCAGCCCACCCTCTGGGGCCTGATAGTTCTCCTTTCTCTGCTACCATCCCCTGCGTTTCTGCTCTCATACCCACAGTGATCCTACTTTCTGAGTCAAAGCGGGGTCTGACTGTTCAAAGTTGCCATTGTCCTGGCCAAGGTGGCGTGTGGCCCCTGGGGCACATGTGGCTCCTTGATCTCCCCCTCTGGTGAACTCCCCCTCTTAAAAGTCTCCTTCGCCTGCTCTCCATAGGCTCAGGGTTGGGTGCACTTGCTTGAGCTGCTGGGCCCCGGACTGTGCAGTCCAAAGCCCCCTTAAGCCTTTTGCTCCCCAATGTCTTCTGTTCCAGACTTGGAAGCGTTGGCCAAGAAGAGCCCAAGGCGGCTGCTCAAGACCCTGGAGATCTACTTGGCCGGCATATCGAAGGGACAGGCCTCCTTGTTGGCAGCGCAGATGTGCTATAGGGCACAGGTCCCTCGCTCCAAGGATCTCACTTTCACGGGCGTGTGTGACCTGCCCCCGCCCTCCTCCGAAGGCACACGGCTGAGCTGACCAACCTGAAGCTGGCTGGCTGAGGGACTGCAAGGCTGGGCTGCCGGCAGGCCATGTCAGGAGCGCCCTGCCTGGGCCAGGCCCTTCCCATCTCAGCAGAAGGGATGTAGGCAGCTCCCCGGGCTGGTCAGAGGAGCCGAGGACACATCGGGCATTCAGACTTGACCCACTCCCTACAGATCTGCCTCCGAGCAAGAACTTTGCTGGAACCTTCGTTGGACCACAGGTTACCAAGTTGGGTTCCAGGTCATCTTGATGAGAGTGAAAGGATCATGAGGTGGGAGAGCCCCATCTGGATGTTCACACATCCCCACGTTGAAGGACATTCCTAAGCAGGGCTTTCAGGCCTGTGCTGGCCTTAACAGGGACCAGACAGGAACACAGGGTAGTTAGAATTTGAAGGGAGAAGCTAGCAGTTGCAGCAGCCAACAGAGGGCAGCATGAACCAGACCAAGCCGCCCAAGGCTGCAGCTGGGCTGGCTTCACTCTCCTCCATCCAGCAGGCCAGTACCTGGGTCCCCCCTGGGGTTTCTGGCCTTGTATTTAACCCACTCTACTATCCCCCACCTCTCCTCCCTGCCTTGTGTCTCCACTGCTGCCCAGCCGCCTCCCAGCTGGGCTTCCCCGTGGAGCCTGTGCAGTTCCCATCAGAGATGGTTTTCTAGTCTGGCTGAGGGAAGGAGGACGTTCACACATCAGCAGTTACTGAATAAAAGAGTTGTTCTGGGATAACGGTTCCACGTGCTTTCCTCCAAGACGAGCCTTGCGCCTTCCTGGGGCCCTGTTAGAGCCAGGCACTCCAGCGGGCCAAGGCACTGGTCGTGGGCTCCAGGAGAGGTTGCTCTGCCCTGGCCAAACTCCCACTGAGTTCACATGACATCCACCCCACACTGGCAGGTCCAGAGATTCTTGTGTACTCCAGGCAGCGGGCGAGGTGCCCCTGACTCTTGTTAAGATTGACTGGTGTGAAGCGTCCACACTGGGTTTTTCCTACATTCGATTCTGGGGAAGCTGGCTCTGTTGCTCCATTCACACAAGGGCTGAGCTGTGAACAGGGGTGGGCAGGTGAGAGCCCCACTACACTGCTCTCCTGTCCTCTGCCCTCCTTCAAGTCACGGGAGACCACTGTCCAGCCCCTGCAGGCCTCTCCAAATCCAACCCTCAGGAGGCAAGGCCCACCCCTCACAGAGGTGGGGACGACACACACCCACCACGTGTGAATGGGTCCTTGTAACCGCTCTCAGCAGGATACCTCTCAAGGGTGAATGGAGCCTGCAGTTTGCCTGTGTCACCTTTGCCAACCTGAACTGATCCTGTGTCTCACTTTTTCCAGCCCGGTGTGCTTAGCTGCCCAGCAAAGATGGCAGGGAGACTGGCGGGGCTGGAACACAGGCCGCAGCTCAGCCTCCACGATGGGGTGTCAGGTCCAGTGGTTCCTTTCCTGCAGATTCCTTTTGCTTGCTCTGACACCAAGAGGCCAACTCAGCAGACCTGACCATGAATACTCACAGCACAGCAAGGGCCCAGGCGAGGGCGGCCTCTGCAGGCGTCCTTCCTTCTCCATACAACGCTCTCCACACAGCAGTGCCCACTGCTTCACCCTGGGACACTAGCAACAACACATCCCAGGGGTGAAGTTGCAGTTCTGTTGATGGACCGTTTGGGGGAGGTGTGTAAAAGCCCTCTGTGAGATGCAAAAATCTTGATCTACATTTTCTGGTGTGTAAAGGTCTGCCCTAGGCTTGTCATGGGAGAATTAAAATGCTTCACAGCCCTAAAAATGTCAGAGCCAGGGGTTTGGTGCGGCCCTTATTCCCCTTTGTAAGACATCCCTGGAGCTTCTGGTCAAGATGGCAGAGCAGTGTTATCCAAAGAAAAGAAAATCTGGTGTGGCTCGGTGGACTGAGTACCAGCCTGCAAACTGAAAGGTTGCTAGTTCAATTCCCAGTCAGGGCACATGTCTGGGTTGCAGGCCAGGTCCCCAGCTAGGGCATGCAAGAGGCAACCAAATCTCCTATACATCAATGTTTCTCTTCATCTTTCTCCCTCCCTTCCCTTCTCTCTAAAAATAAATATATAAAATCTTTAAAAATAATTTTTTTTTTAATTCCCAGTACACGCTCTGTGGAGATGGTCAAGTGGATGGATAACTGGCTGTGTCTGTGCAGAGAGAAAGGGATATGCAGGGAGCTTTTTTATGCTTCTTGGCACAAAATCAACAATGAACTTGTTCAGAATTTCTGTTTCGGATGGAAGAATCAAGCATGTCAGAGCTCAGAAGCCAGATGGCCCTGAGGGCACATGAGTGAGGACAGCCACGGCCCAGACAGACCTTGAAGACACAATCCCATGCTCCCCCAACCCATGCCCTCCAGGATGGGAATATCTTGGGGCTACTCTGTATTCCCCCTATTTAGCTATCTAGCCCCTCTGATATTCCAGCCACCCCCCCAATTTCGAAAGAGCATGAACTAAGGCCTAGACAAGGAAAGGCAACCTGGCCAGGATGCAATGGAGGCAGGCTGAGAACCAGACCCATGACTCTTGTGCTTTTCCTGCAACCAGAGGTGGCTCTGGGCTCATCGGACTGGTAATGCTTGATGCAATGTGCTTACAAAGTGACAAGCCAGATGTCTGCACCTTTGCTTGCTGGGCGTATGTCATTGGAAGCTGCCTTGCAATGGTTTATGACGGCAGCTGGGGAAATACTGGCTTGAACAAAGAGGCATCCCCAGCCTGTTGCCATAACCTCCTCCCAGCTGGGAACGTGAGACTGATCTGAACCCCTGGCTGAAAGTGATCCTGCAGCCTGGCACTGGGCCACCTCTCTACAGGGTTCACAGCAGAACCTGCCAGGTGCACTGGGATTCCTGGCCCCCCTGCCTTAATTATGCAAAACCAGCTGAGGCCTCTCAGGGGCGGGGAATTGTCCCTGGGTTCCACATTACCCCAGCATGAGAATAAGTCCCTGCAAGGAGACAGGGCAGACAGAATTAGTCCAGGGCAAGCAACGCGGGCAGAGAGTGGGGAAGACACTCGTCTCCTTTATTGAACAGCTCCAGTGGCGCCTTGGCGCCGACTAGGCAGCAGGAGGAGGAGCAAACAGGCAAGCAGGTGGGCGCAGGGAGATGTTTCTCTTACTTCCAGTTCTTGAAGAATTGCTTGAAGATGGGACTCTCACGGCCCTGGGGCAGAATCTCCACCTGCAGGGACAGCAGGGAGACATCTTGCTCACAAGGTTGCCATCTCTGCCTCCACCAGGCAAGGCCAGAGCCACAGAGAAGGGTGCTGGGCACTCGGCCAGTGTCCACGCTGTCCAGGCCAAGGGTGCCCCTCCAGATAAGACAAGAGATGAGAAACATTACAGAGACACAGCTGAAGGAGACTGCTTCCAGGACAAAGGTGAAGCTTGGCAGATGCACCAGTTACAGAGGAGCCTCACCAGCTCCCCTCAAAATGACTTGTGGAGTCACCGAGCTTGGATGAGAAGGGGCCATAGCAGCTCGGGGCAATGGCCCAGAGGAGGCGCACAAGCTGTCCAAAGGTGAACCCACTCTCTGGGCTCTCAAGGCAGCGTTGCCAACATCCTCTTAGAAAATATGTACTTTTAAATCTTTAAGGATTGAGAAGGACTTCCCCACTGGGGAGTCCGGTAGGGAGGCCTGACTGTTCCCGACCATGTCTGAGGCCTTGCTGCCCTTCTTGTCCGGTCTGAGGGGCAGGAGGCCGTGGGGAGGCCCCAGAGGAAGGCTGGGGCAGCAGGTGTCCCCTCACCTGAGTGTTTGGGGCGTACCGCATGCGAGAGATGAAGTCCTCGGCCACTTGGAGGGCCGCCTGCCGCTCCTTCTCGTTAGCTTTCCGCCCTGGATCAGAGGAAGGAGAGTTTTCACAAGAGCAGGAACACTTTCTACCCCACATGCCATTTTTCTTCAGGAGATTTAAGGGGGTCCACAGAATGGCTGGCAACTTTTAAAACAAACGGACCAGGAGGTACTGAGAATGCTGAGGGGCTCCCTAGAGGTGCAAAGTCAGCCCCTCGACACTTCTCCCAACCTGGCAGCTCCAGGCCAGATGGAAACAGCTTCCCTGCCTGCTCTAAGCACCAAAACCTGTTCAGACCAGGGCCGCAGGAACAGTCACGAGGACTAGTGTGCCCTGGCGTCAGGCGTAGAGCCGTGGCCCCAGGACCACGCGACTCCAGGACCCCTCGCCTCTTGAGCCCCAACTGCACTGTTATCAAGCCTTCCTCATACAACTGACCAGGACAGAGGGTGGTTTCCTCCAGTCTTACTCCCATAATGCCAGGTAGCAGACAAGGGCCAACAGCTATGCCAACGAAGAGCATACAAAAAGGAAGACACCAGAGTCCATTCTCGCCTGTACGTAGTCCCTATAACACAAAATAGGCTCCAGCTTAAGGCACTTTTCCAAGGCAACAAGGTAGTGAACTGGGGTTGGTTCTCCAGTGCTAAAAACAAACATATCAAAACGGAATCTTGTGGTGAAGGTGCCCCCTCACCCGACTTAACACCCAGCCTCACGGCAGTGGAATTTTCTCACAGGAGTGGAATTTTCAAACGACCCAGGCCTGGAATTCCCTGGTAGCACTAGTGAGGTAATCTGGCTGGTATGACCCCTGCCTGCCCCTAAGGGGAAGTGGCCTTGCCTTAAACAACCCAGTCTTTCCACTTCTTTACCCCACTCTCTTATTCTTTTCTTTTACCCTAATCTGAGGATGTATTTATTGACTTGAGAGTAAGCAAGATAGAACATTGATCAGTCGCCTCCCGCACACACCCCATCGAGGGATCAAACCCACAGCCTAGGTATGTGCCCTGACCAGGAATCAAACCCACAACCTTTTGGTAAACAGGATGGCGCTCCAATCACCTGAGACACCGGCCAGGGCTGTACCCACTCTTTCTGCCCATAGAAGACTTCCACTTTGTGCAGCTCCGCTCAGTACCTTTCCTCAGTACCTTGGCTAAGGTGCAGCCTTGTTCATGATCTTTAAATTTACTGGTTGAAGTTTTGTTCATTAACACTGTAACTGCAGAACCAGCTCAGACTGGAATTATCCTTTCTAACATGAAACTGAGTTGTTTTTCAGGGTCAACAAAACAAAATTGTTAAGTCATACAGCCTAAGCATTCAGAGAAAATTTTGACTTTCAGTAACACCCAGTACCAGTTTTGCCCCCAACCTCATGAAACCAAAAAGGCTGAGACGTGACCGGGACTTGATCATGGGGATCTTTTCAGAATCGAAGGGTCTGTTGTCCAGAAAGGTCAGGAGCTGAAGCCCTCCAACTGAAACCTGCCCTGCCAGCACTTCCAGATGCCAGACTGTCCTTCCCCAGCCCCCTACCAGCTCAAACCCTCCATCTGGGGGGTGGGTTTGAGCCTTGCTCCCTGTCTCCTTGCTAGTCGACTTCCCAATCAAGCTTTGTTCTCTTCTCAAAAGCCAGCGCCATAGGACTGGCTTCTGCGCATGTCCGGCAGCAAGCCCTTGCTTGGTAAAAATACCACCCAGGCTGAAAACCCCAGTTAGCTACAATCTGACTAAATTAATGTGGATACTTCCTGTGATTTGACCAGCAACCCACAGGACACTTTTCTTCCTGGCTGGAGTTTCCTGTTTCTTCTCCTCTGGTTTGTCTTTCCTAAATGGTTGGGTCTTCATTTGGGGTTAAATACATGTCTATGGACACCCCTGCCCCCATTCGCCCC